TGAATACCCGCTTCCCTCACTACTCATTTGTACACACTTCCCATCAATTGAAAAAGTAATTTGAGACAACCAACGAAACATCTATAGTCAGAACGAGAAAGAATATAGTTGCTTGAGATGTTTCTGTCATGTAGTAACGCTTATTTATACACTCAAAACTTCCAGTTCACTAGAATATATATTATGAACTTTAGTTTGTAGGTGATTTCTGAACGTTAGTTTTAGCCTGTCAATCACCGGATGAAGTCGATATTGATATAATCTTAAAGTGCAAAAAGAAGGATCTGTAACTATACGAGATAGTGAAAAAAGTTATATTAGCATTAGGGTTTTGGGTGAAATGACCGTCTGAGCTGATTAGCAGTTTACCTACCTTCGTCCAAGACAGGGTTTTGGCAAAGACACTAGTAGGATTTTCCTTCAATGACGACAGCCATCTAATCAGTAATTGTGTATCCACCAACTTTAAGGGAGATTATAATTATATAGAGTCCATACAACACACTATGTTCTCCATGGGCGTGCTTAGTGCTTTAAACTCTTATGTTACATGTACAACATCTAATCGGAAACCTTTGAATTCATCCTTCATCAAATGGCGAATTTTGAACAACTGGTGTAAAACTACTTCAGTTATAGTCAGTTTGAGAAGATTGAACTTCTCTTTGAATATCACTGAATAAGATAGTCCAAGTTTTGTAATTATCTTCAAAATAACCTTCTTTTATCCATTTAACCAAGTCAATCATCCTTATGACAACTCTAACAACACTATCTGAGGATCATCAAATATAAAAGGTTAATAACAACAGAAATGATTTTCTCTGCAATATAGACCTGGATGAAACTAAATCTAGTAGCAATTGTGAAAAATACAGCAGTAGCTAAAGTGAAGATTCAGCTATACAATGTAATTCCTGGATCTAGTAAGCAATCTGAAAATGGAATCCACGTTTTGTAGGATATTGCTTGTTCCAACAGTAGTTTATGGACAAGGGTTCTGGCAAATGCGTTTTGATGTTCGAGATTCAGTGCATTAAGTCACTTTTTCTGTCCTGAAAGTACTGCTGACAGTAGTCGCCTGCTTATGAAATCTTCCAGCTGTGGTATATAGTCAAAGACTATATTAGTAAGCGATAATTTATAATAGGATAACTTTGGATTTTAGACATAAATGAACATGCAAAGAAAATCCAACGTAACCCTTATTTTTTATTTCATGCTATGTATCAATAAAAGCTAAGGCACTAAAATTGCCATTCAGATGGAAATCTCCTCGCACTTGCTTTTTTTGCCAAATACGTAACATGTATAGCACACAAAAGATCCATTTTACTTGCCTAGTAATTAGTGTGAATTTCTGCTGAAGTGAGGTATAAACAATGTGTCTGCAATCACGATCAATAATTTAGATGAAGAAAATCAGAAGTGAAGTGTAGACAAAGTATCTGCTCTTCCATTAATTATGAATTATCAGACGTTACAGAATACTAAAATTCCATTACTTATCTGCTTGACTTGACTTTCAAGTTCACATTTTCAAGTGGTCAATCTATTAGACTCTGATATTTCTAAAATAGCATTATTTTGTTAATTATAATAATTGTGACAGATAATATTACCGATGCCAGTAAGATTTTAGACTGACCCATACATGACTGATTTTCCAATAATATGCAAGAAATATCAAACAAATAAATCGTCTCATTATGACTAGACTTAAACAGATCGGTCAATCGTAGAAGTATATCCGAAAATGTTTGGCTTGAATTCCAGGTGCCATGTGTGTTTTGGTACATATTTTTTCCAATTTAGTACTTTTCTTGAGATGTAGTTTGATCAATTTCGCATAGTGTATCGTGTTTACCTCCAGTATCTACTTTGAATTTACTCCTCAACTGACAGTTGACTTGTTTTCTTCCAGAGTAAGTTACTGTCGATGGTTTCTGACTAATGGATATGGTGTATCCTGCATAAACAGTTGTTATAATCACCTGTACTTCTTTAGTGAGAGTGGTGGTTTTTATTTAAGTTTCATTTCGGTGCAGTAGAATTATTTCTGCTATGTTCTTATGACCTTGGTTATTATATCGTGTGATTAATTCTACCACTTGGAGCACCGACTTATATGACCTCAGTACTGTACCAAATCAAGGACGGATAAACCAGCAGGAGCAGCCTTGAGTCAACTCTGAGTTCCGATTGGTACTTCTGTCCAGACCTGACTGTTTGAATCCAGAGCACATCTTCTAAAGTATGAATCATGTATATTACGCATACTTGAATTACATACAAACAAATTAGACCTCAACACAACATAAAATAGAAAATAACTAGTATACAAAATCAAGCCAGTCATAAATTCATCACAGTACTAATCATATTTCCCGAGACGATTTTAAACACACCCACTTAAATGCACACATAAGCATTCTTAGATCTCATCTAACCCACTAGCCTGCCTGTCAGTGATTACCGAAATAATCTGAACAGAAAGGCATACGGACCACGTGCAATCGATGGAACAAAGTGAAGCGTAAGTTATTGTCTTTTCATACATACATACATATATACCTGCATATTAACTTACATACACATAAATATATTTACATATGTAGTTAAATGGATTGTTTCGGTTGAGCACGTGAGCACGTGTTTGCTCCGAACGTCAACATCCACGAACGTGGTCGAATGAATGCAGTCAGCAATAATTTGACAGCAAACGACAATAGAAATCTTCATAGTATATTGAAATACTGTTGTGTGTAATACTATATGCCTGATCCGTGTTTTTATGTCAACTCTTCTTTGTTGTAGTGGTCGCATCATTCGAATGTCACAACTCAGGTGAGCCTTATCTTACTCGATCGCATAACATGAAGTTGCCACTTACTGGCGAGTAATTACAAAAGTATCCCACTTGCTGATTCAGCCTTCAGTTAAACACAACAGTGTTGTGTCATGTGTTCAACTGAAGCGAAGTGGAGTGATGCGAAGTCAACAGGACTGAAATGAATAGTAATGCGGTGTGTTGTCGATTTGTGGAACAACGTGTAGTTAAGTGACCAGAGTTGAAGTGGGCTGAATAGAGGTGTAGGCATGTAATTGTTTTGTTTTGCTCTGTCATATTCCATGTGAATCATATTGTGACGTTGTGTTATTTCGTTTTCAGTGATTGCAGAACCAGCACCAGACAGTCAGGGTGGTTGTTGTCCTGGTGAATGTCCTCAAGGCCCTAGATGCTGTGGGTGTTGTGGATGACAAGGTGGAAACTGTTATGGAGGCTGCTGCAAGAACTGTTACCATAATTAACAACACTAACAGCCATATCTATTCAGCATACAACGACGAAAACCCGCTCCCGAGTACGCAGCTTCTAATCTGTCTGCGAAATATACAAAACTAACAATGTTCCTTATTTGTATGGCGATTGTCCGTTGGCCTATTTATTGTCCTATTCTCCGTCTGCAACTAGAATTTTCTCAACGCTCTCTCTCACTATACAGCACCAATCCACACAAATCGTATCCAAAGCTTAGTTGAACAGATCTAAGTTACCCATCTATTCGGAAATTTATTTCGGTGTGTAATAAGTGCCATATGAACTGGTTTCCTCTCTGATCAACCAGCGTGTTCATCACTTTTATAGTACCGTCCATATGTATACCTCTATTTAGGGCAACTAATTGGGAATATTTTGTTAATGAAGCGGGATTAGTGTCAACGAACTATAACGTATGTATCAATCAGATTTTCTAGTCACAAAAGTCATCAAGCTGGCATGAATACTTATTCTACACTTATTCGTCAAGAATAATTGGAAGACAAATAATAGTTTTAAAGTTTTACATAGACGGACTCTGGGACGTATAGCGGCATGTGGGCATCCTATTTCTGTGCTTTTATCCCACTCAACTTTTCCTCTCTTTTTCAGGAATGAAGTACAATTTTATCTTAAAGTGTGGTATACAAGTTTATTGTTTATTAAAAAGTATGAGGCCAAAATGTAGTTGGATTTTCACAATATATTATTCCAGTTATGATTCATTATCAGTTTGGTATGATTTTCACAACCTATGTATTTTATTAACTTGAACTTTATTTGAAGGTACAGTCTATTCTAACCTCAATAATCAATAGTTTGACATAATTTTCATATTTTCAGTTATTAAATGTTAATATAACCGAAGGTTTTGGGTTCTAATCCCGCAAGTGGGATCGTGGATGAGCACTGTTGGGAAGTCCCATACTAGGAAAAAACGACCCTCCAGTGCTTCCAGGTTTTAAGTGGTGTTATATCTTACATCGACTCATGAATTCAACTATTAACATTACTACAATCTCCACAAACCTCATTTTGATAATAATTTTATTTAACCATTAAAATATAGAAATATGGAAAATATTCATTTCATAACATTCATTTATGATAGTCACTTAAAATGTTGACACTTATCGCGATATTAATTGACGTTACACAAGTCACTACAATCAAATAGTAATTCAAATTTCAAGTTATAAGTGAAAACCTTTTTTAAAAGAAGCTCACTAATCTGCTTTTAAACAAACCGGTTTAAACAAAGTTTAGTAAATGGTCTTTTTGTGAGTTGAAGGATAATTACATTTGAACATAAATATTATAGACCTATTGCATCATTATTACAAACAAAATTATGAGTGCCAATCATCACAGGTTAGTTACAATTATGATTGCTAGAAATGCTTTAAAAAATGTTTCCAAATTGTAAAAATTCGCTTTCATCAAGGTAAAGAATATATTTGATCAAACAGAGCTGAAGTACTTATAAATAGGAACAAGGCAGAAGCTTCATGAAAGTATTTATAATACAGTTTATCACCGAAAAAATATATATTTATATATTTGTCCAAATAAGATTTCTGGATATGATTGTAAAATCTCAGGTAAACTATATCGGATGGATTTTCTGATAAAAAATATTCGTTAGCTTTCAGTTCGTTAACTGGATATTTCCATCTTCTTAATGATGAACTTTGCTTGTTTTCAGAAGTGGTAGTAGTGACCTTTAAAAGATGAAAAGCAAATGTGATGTGTTGAAATGAGTAATTTTCTACAGTTTTTAGTCACTTGTTAAGATGGAATGTGATAACTTAAATTTCATAATAACCCTTTTCAATGGGATTATTCAGCAAAAGATTTTCAATGAGTAAAACACATGTATTTCATTCAAAGAATCGGCAAACATTTACTGCACGGCCATTTTTGTATTTTTTTTCGAGTGAAACTTTTTTCATCCCCATCTTCCAATAATTTTCATTCTGTTTCGTCCAATCAAATAACTAGTTTTGAGTTCGTTATAATTGGTCGTTTATTTCTTAAAATCGATATAGAATATCAGGACATGACGACGGAGCACATTTTCTTACATTTATGGACGGTAGTAACATGCAAAGCACGAGCTCTGTCGTTCCTCACGTTGTCCCAGAAACCGATAACCTATTCTTGAGCACATTGTATCTCGTAGCGTTCCAATCTCTTGAAGCGTTGAAGAGCGCCATTAGAACGTATGAAAGAGCCGCGTACTGCCATTATGTGGTGAGGGATTCTCATTTCCACAGAGATCGGAAGCCGTATATTAAATTCGTATGTTGGAGAAATGGTCGTAGAACACCTAGCGGTTCCTCACAGCCGAGTAGACGAACGAGGTAATTTGATTAGTGTTATTATAATTTTTCATTAAGGACTACCGTGAACAGTCAATGTCTTTCCTTCGTATTTTGTAAGTTACCAACTGTCAAAATAACGTCAATATGGATGCAACGTTAAACAATGACGACGAAGAAATTGTTTCGATGAACTCAGAGGAGTTCACTGAACTAGACGACGACAATGACGAAAACGCATATGACAACAGACTTTGTGATATTTGCAATCTTGCGCAACCGTCACATGAAACTGCTGATGGAAGTGCCTGGATTTTTTGTCCATGCGAAGCAATGCTTCATTTATTTTGTACTTACGACCCACCACCACTTGTCCATGGAATCTACTGTCCCATGGACGGCGCTATAATGGGATCATCGCAACGCCTTTGTTCATGAAATTCGGAACTGTTAAGAGAACGAGTGAAGGCCCTTTTCAGGGCCACTCACAATTTGATTTAAATTCTTTTGTTTCAATTCTTTATTTCCGTAGCAAAATCAAGTGATCAAACCATCAAAATTCATTAAAGATTAATAATCATTATGTGATTATCGCCTACGTATTTGTAAACGCTTTTTAGCTTTATCAAATATACGGTTAAAGTAAAGGATTTCGTATAGGAAATGTCATCCAATGAACACTGATCTGTCTAACAATAGTACATGCGAAACTTATTCAGAATGTTTCAATGTTTTGTCATATAGTTACGATAGACGAATGTAGTACTGCCAGTTCACTAGTACAACATCATTTCTATGGGAAAGGTCGACTGAACCAACATTGATGAATTATAATTAAGCCTTAGTGATTAAGCAATATAATCAATTGAGATTCATAAAAATTTCGTGGATTACTTGAAGTCAGACATTAACAGGTTTTCCATTAGTGAATATTTAGATAGCGGTACACGTCATTCGAAAAAGTGAAAAAGTGGAAAACTAACAAAATTTTTACCACTTCTGACTATACATATACAAATTATAGTTTATCGTAATGACTCACAGATCAATTATGATTGTTAGAAGCAAGATTCCACTAACAACAAGAAATACAATCGGAGGAAATATAGTAACAGTGACTGCATATACAGCTGGTAAGCTGATAAAACTAATGACGAATCCAATACGAGCAACGAATCCTCCAAATGATTGAATCATTCCTGCGTAAAAGTAAAATTCAATGTTTAGTATCACAATTTTCGGATTAAGTCTAAGCATCGATCTACAACTCTCAGTCAGACGTTTATTGTTCATATTAAGAAGTCAAAATTAACTTATTAATTGATTTGAAGTGAAAAGCATCTTTGCTAATTTCAACGTTTAACTGTAGTACGAATTATACTCTCAGATAAAAGTCTATGAAAATAAAATTTGAATGATGTGAATTAACATTGGAAGAATTTTAAGGAAATATGCTCACACTTAATGATTTGGATGGATACTGCTTAACTTAGCAACTACAATCTACAGTTTCATATACGTATGATAGCATTTCGCAAGTGAAACCATGCTCATCAAACAATACTAAATGGTAGTGTGAGTACAGTTTCCGTTTTGGTTCGAATAAAAATTCAACCACATCTCGGAAGTTGTTAAGAATTCGGGCTGAATGCGAATGAAAGTCGACTGAGCAATGTGAATATTTGAATTGATTGCGATAATTTACGTACAAGACGATATCAAATTATTATAATTAAATTAATAATCGGGTAAATTATTCTTGGTAATAAAACTGCTTCCATGTGTTAGTTATGTGGTATCTAAATTGATAAAAACCTTTTATCTATGCGATCACTAAATGTCAAACAGAATACGCAATAGAATATTGTATTATTACAACTGACTGTTAGAGGATGAGAGGAAAATTCATCACCGTTTTTGTGCAGCTTTTATGAAGAAATATATGAAAGTCAGTAAATGTATACCGTACTGTCTTTCAAAACTTGAACTGTTGTAACGAGGTAGTTTTGTGCAGATCTTATAAATGTGTATGATACAAGACAGAATAAAGCCTTCCAGTTCATATAATTTTACTAAAATACTAATTGCAACTTACCTTGATTGTTTGGTGGTGTGCATAGTGCAAACATTGAGCGTGCAACGGGTGAGATGAAACTTTTTGATAGTCGAGGAATAGCAGCTGTTAAAAAAAAGTGGCTAATTCTCATTGAAGATCAAGAAAATCTGTATTGCTGTTATTTCCTAATACGGGACTCTACTGGTCTACAATCCTAACATCCCTAGAGCCCGTTGCTTTCAGGTTTCGTGGTGAGAGCTTGACTTCTAGACCACTTAAACGTCATACAGTGCCCCACATGTATGACTACAATCGTTTTGCGACATTACGTGATAATAATTTTAAATAATTATTTATTTTAGCTATTATGTAACTGAAGAGTAGGCAACCAATTATCAAGTTCTTTGCCTTCTCTGATTTTAGTTAACTGATTGTAAAAATCAGCAAACACTGGACGGCTGTTTTGTCCCTTTTTTGGGACTCCATTACTCTATAGAAGATCGAACTCATGATTTTTGAAGAGCATTACTATTTTCAAATGAAGTCCAATTTATTCGACTACCATTCCGAAGATAGCAAATTTCAGCTTGATAATATGGCTTAAATCTAGTCGAGTGCTTGCTCATCAGCACTACAATTTATTTAGGAATATTTAAAAACTAGATAATCCGAGTCCATCCCATCAAAAACAACAGACCATATTTCAACATATTCATCAAAACACTATCCATGTCTTACTTTCTTACCATGGAACGTATATGATATATCGTTTATCTAAGTTGACAATAAATGTAGAGTGATTAATATACTATAAATATATAATTATAAGTTAGCTTCCCAAAACTATTCAACTGTCAATTATTTATAAATATCCTTGTATATTATCTCTGGAAATATATAATGATGTCTTAGTTAAATATTACCAATAATTTGAAGATATCATAACGTCTGATACAGTGGAGAGAATGTTCAATTAATGCTCTTAATTACAATTTATGTTGCGAAAAATTTTTTTAAAAACAATAAAAATTTTCCACTTACCCATATAAGCAATAGTACTTGCTGTTTGTTGTGTGAACTGATGTGCAATACCCATCATTATTTTGTTTATTATCATTAATAATAAAGTACCTGCCAATGTAAAGATCAATAATCTCATATTCCGTAAAAATACTATTCGTGATTTATCATTTTTATGTTCTTCTTGAGATGTATGATTACCATTTGTTTCTAATTTTTGTTTCATACTTTTTCGTTCACGAATTTTAACAACAATAATTGTATATGTAATCCCCAAAACAGATGATATGAAATCACTGAGACCACTGGAAATTAAAAATCAATGGATTCAGTATGGGTAAAGTCAAAACATTGTACATGTTAAATTCACTTGGTATTGCTTTGCTTGAATCTTCCCATTGAGGTTTAAAACCGCAATTGATCAGTCTGTTATTGGCATATGTGTATACTGTGCATATCGCCTCGATATTGCCTTAATTCACAAGCTTTATAAGCAAAGATGGATAGTGGCTAGCAGCGGAATCCAGGCCGCTTGTTTCGTCCTATTTGGGACTCGTCAGCTGGATGTACCGGCATCACAATGTTGGTACTCTCTTTGGGGTTAATTCATCTCACTGCACAAGCAAGTGGTTATCAGGACTCAGTAGCCAAGTGTATAACGCGATGCCGTTTGAGGCGAACGGTACCGGGTTCGTGTCCCAGAATTAACATAAACTCTGAGATGCAGGTACATCCAGCTGATGAGTCCCAAATACGACGAAATGCGCACCCTGGCTTCCACTGCTAGCCACTATCCATATTGTACATGTTAATTTAAAAATAATGTGAAAATTTTTATCTACATAAGCTATTTCTTAAAATACATATTTAAAGTTAATGGATATACTGATTTCCAAATTTGCTTAGTCCTCTTCAAAAATAAAGTGAATATGATATTGAAATCAGTTAACGATCTTATCTATAATCCCGAAAACGGAATCACATTTGATACTTGATACAACAGATATAAAGATTTATACAAAATTGAATTGGCTGTTCTAAACAATGGCACAAGAGTTCGTCCTCTTCTCAGGAAGTCAAGAACAAATAGACACGTCAAATGTACAAATTTTATACTACTGAAATTGTCTAGAGATATTTATTTTCACGACGCAGTATCCTTCGAAATATTTTCAGTGAATAGTCATCTCTATTCAGCATCCATTACATCTGTTTAAAAATATACAAAACCTATTGATGGTTTTCTCACATATACTGATAAAGTGAATCGAGCATGAGAATGTTTTAATCTGGATTCATTAACTCAAAACCAATTCAAATGTTTAGTTTTTGTCTGTGGATTGCAGTGATAATCTAATTCTGAAACATGTACTTGTAGTTAAGCACGCATGGAACAGGACCCATCTATAAATTTTCAAGATGTGATGGCGGAGTGTCATTGTATTCGACAGTTAAAACACGACACAAAACTAGTTAAAAACTGAAAAGATACACATGCAGTGAATGCATTTACTCTGAAATCAAAGCACCAACAAAAATTTCACAGTAAGGCTGGTCATTTGCAAAGGTCGAAAGGAGCTTTTTGGTTTTGTGATGTTTGAAATTATGGAAAAAGATACTCATATAAAACTAACAAATGTAGCAAATCACAGCGATTTGGTCACAAAGACGGGTTTTGTCGCAGTTTTAGTACTTTACTTTCTGGTGTAAAGAGATTCAAATCAGTCGCACATAAGAACGTTCATAGCGTTTTTGATGTTTCCAGTGTCCATCTGTCTGTTAAAAAGGAAAGTCGTGAGATCTTGATAAATAGAGTATCTAACAGAATCCAGATTGATATTGGGTCACATATTACTTGTAGTGTACGCTACTTATGTTGACAGACACAAGTAGCATACAACATCAATCGAAAGTTGAGAACCTGGCAGAAGGTTGGGATAATAGAATCGGAGAGAACGGTAACGGAGCGTAATTGTTATGGCAATGAAGAAACGATGAAGCTCCTGACAATTGATGGAGGATTTGCAAATGAAGTACTGAACGTATGGCTTTTATATTTGATGTTTTTTGTATTGAAATACATTGGTTGTCCACACCTGTATTTTCATTCACTAAATACTCTGGTTTCCTGTGATACTTAGCGTATATTTGGGCTACAATGTCTTACAAACGCCTCGCAGAGCCGGAAATGCGTTCAGAGATCTAATAAAACTGAAATTGAGTGTGATGTCTCGTTTAGATCTCAAACTTTATGAAGTAAATGTTGCCCCATAAATCGTCATTATTTAGGTTTGTTGGTGATTAATCAGATGTAGCAGCTGTCATCATGAGATATGCCACGGAATCTCTATTGCTCACAGATTTTACTCTGAACTCAGACACCCACTATTATAACAATAAACTCTCTTATCAATCGCCTTAAGTCAAAGTATAGTACAATATTCGGTGAAACCCTGGGGTGTCGGACGGTGCAGAAAACAGTTTTATATTTGAGGCCGAAAATTCGACCTGTTTTCAAACAAAGACGATCAGCTCCATATGCCCCTTACCTCTAGTAGATAAGGAAATGGACAATCGACGAAACTAAATGTCCCCAAACCAGTGAAATCTTCACCCCGTGCAGCCCAATTAGTAGTTGTTAAAAAGGTTGATGGATCCTTACATTTATGTGCTGATTTCTTGACAGGTTTAAATAATGGATTGTTAGATTATTCATATCCACTGTTTTGCAGACTTGATAGTGTCCTGTTAAAAATTAATACAGTTTGGCCTCCACTTACGTGAAGATGAGTGAAATTTCTTCATACAAACCATCAAGTATCTGAGGTTCGTGATCGACGAAGACAGTCGTAGAGTCGATACTGACAATATCGACGGGATTAGACAAATGCCAGTAGCATAAAATGTTGACAAGTTACGATCATTCTTTGACATGATTGTATAGTGTGATCGATAAAGGAACCCACTGATAAAGACAGGAAACGCCCACCACCATGTCAACTTTCTTTGACCTTATATTGACAAAGTTTTGCTTATTCACCAATTATAATTTTATGTTTATCATGAACGATATTAAGTTCGTTAACCCATTTTGCTTATCCTCTAGTTACTTTTCGGAATGTTATTTCTCTCTTGTCCCTGTTTAATAGACTGTATTAATTGTTTGTTTTGTATATTAAAAGTGATAATTTACGTTTTAGAAACAGATAACGTTTATCAAGCCAATTAGCTTACTTGTTCTGACTTTGGCTAGATTACTAGATTTCGAGGAGGTGCTACAATTGCGCAAAGTCATCTTAACTACCCACTAAAGATGAACCTCGAGCATGATCAGCACCTACAGAACCTTGGTCATGACCTCACATATATTTAGCTGAACCATCTCAGAGAAAACAATTCCTGGTTATCGTCGATGCATTTTCAAAATGCCCGGAAGTCTTCGTAGTGACCAGTGTGTCTACCACTGCCACGATGAAAAAATTACAGAAGTGTTCAACCGTTTCGGACCATCAAATGCTATTATTTCAGATAATGGAACACAGTCCACTTCGGCCCGGTTCGGTAAGTTCTGCAGAGCAACAATATCAATCGTGCCAGGTCTCCTTCATACCATCTTCAACTGAATGGTCGGGGTGTCGCTTTGTTGATTTATTAAAAAAGACTATTAAAAAAGGAGAAGCGTAAGAGACTGTAGAAGAAGTGATTCACAAATTTCTATTTTTAAATGGCATTTCAGTATAATATTTTCAGATTTATTAGTTGTACTAAATGGTTTCTGTATTTTACTAGGAAAAATATTACAAACCTACTTACATATATATTCCTACTTGTTGAGGATTCCACAAGAATGGTGAACCCATGAGATAGATAACAATGTAATGAAGATCTGCCATAGCACCAATCGCTAGGAGTACGATAATTATTATAATTACAATTAAGATTGGATCCAAATGTCCTACACTCTATAGTACAGTATTTGTTGAAGATTGATGGGAAAAGAAATAAATGAGAAGTAGACTAAAAGTATAGTTTATATTTTTATTGCAATTTATAACTGTTATTTAATTTGCTAATCAGATCTACTCGCCAAAAATATATCCATTTGTCTGTATCAGTCAACTGATTAATAAAGTTTAATTTTCATTTCATTTTTACCAAAAATGCATTTCTATTTAGTTTTTGATATATGTATATGCAATACCTTCAGAAAATCTACCAGGTATAGAATGAATAAACAAATCAAAGTCGATTAAGTTGCATGGGTTTCATTTGCATAGTGTGACGTTCTGTCTAAACATCTCGGTTGATTAGTTTTCCGTTGTTTAAGAAAACAAACTAACCTCTTTTTAATTGGAATCATGGACTGATCAACGTTAGACCATCATTGAAAACTTGGGAAGCACTGAGCGGCCGTCTTGTCCTAGTAGGGAACTTGTCAACAGTGCGCACTCGCGAACCCTCACGCCGGACTAGAATCCAATACCTTTAGTCTTGGGTGTGATTGCTTTAACTCTAGACCACTGAACCAACATCCAACGGTGTTAATGTCTAACTTTAACCAATGCCGATGAGTTCTAGTATATATATATTATTATATATTTATTTATTAATTAAACAAACAAAAAGCAATTACATCTGAAAACATGCATCAGTTACATGCTATAGAAAAATAGTCCTACAAAATTATATTTCAGTCACCCACCCAACAAATTGAGGAAGTCCTATGACTCTTCGAATGAAGAGGAGCTTTGTAAGGACATTGCGACTTCCCATTGGAGAATATGTGTATATATGCATTAGAATGTCACTAGAATGGGTAATTAACTTGAATCACACTACCTAGTGCAGAAATATTTTTATTAACCCACACTTTTAGAAGATTTCATGCAAACTAAAAGCTATGAGGAGCTACTAATGAGTTCACTAGTTGAGAAACATGGAAACTATCTCCAAATATGCGTTCAGTTATTCTCTAGGTGTTATTATACTGGGAAGAAAAGTTCAACAATTTCAATAAAAGTACACTTCAACACTAATCCATTTAGAGAATAAATAACTTTTTATAATTAGATTTCATTATATTTACTATAATAGACATACTTATATATGTATTATGTAGTTAAGTATTAAACTATCTATTAGTCATATACATTTAGAAACAATTTGTTTTTAAGTAAATAGTATCATTTATTAATGAAGTAGACGTTAGAATATAATGTTGATATGTAACTAATTACACTTATTGTTATCTAACATATTGACTGTAATAAGAAATGTTCTATTCAAGTTGAAATTGTCATATTTATCATATAAAATAAAAAAAATTTGTATGACGTCATTTAGACTGTAGATAAAATTTCGAGAGTTATTTCTATTTTATTTATTAAAATTGATTTGTGTTGTTGTCATGTCGTTTAAAATTTTATTATTTAATAAAATTATTGAATTACTTTTTTTTATAATTTTTAATTATCAATAATATTGATCAGAATAAATGAACTAACTTTTATTCGCATAATGAATTTCTCTTTCCATTCAGGTTGAATTTCAATTGTATGAGCTTCATTAAAATCATTGTCTTTATTATCTTCAACATTAATAGGTGATCCATATGTATTATTGGTTTCCGGGAAAATGCATAAAATTATTAAACTTGGTACAAATAAACTTGCACCTGTGATAATCACAGCGTTGAAACCAAATTGATAAATTAATGTTCCTGATAATAAGTATAAATTTATATATGGCACCAAGGAAGAGAATAAAAATTTTAATTGGTCAGTAATAAAAATAAGTAGGGGAATTTTCGAAAACATTGATTTATTTACAAAGATGGATAGTGGCTAGCAGTGTAATGCAAGACTCGTGTTTCGTCTTATTTGGACCTCGTCGGCAAGGTGTACCTGCATCATAGAATTGATTTTCACTTCAGGACTCGAAACTAATACCGTTAGTCTCAACACCATCACGTTATCCATCTGGCTACTGAGTCCTGATAGCCACCTGTTTATGTATCTTTGTTTATAAAGCTTGTGATTTAAGTAAACATCGAGACAGTCCGCACAGCATGCACATATGATAATAAGAGACTGACCAATTGTAGTCCTAATAAACAATGCGAAGATACAAGTAAACAATACCAAATGAATTCATTGATTTATTTGTTGAGTTTTGTATCACGATGGCTTATGACCACTGACTTACATATACATTCATTCCCCATTTTGGTTTCAATTAGTAACCATCACCAAAAATATGTTCCTTTTTCTGAAAAGAACTGTAATCATACTTGCATAATTTATCTTTGCAAATTCCTACGCCAGATTTGAAATTAACTGTGTTATATGTAATAGTAAATTAAGAAATAAACGAGCATTCTGTTTGCTGTCAAGCTAATGCCATTTTTGATTTAAGCGTTTTATTTTTTATCGTTACAACTCATTAAAATACTATTCATATCTAATGAATGGTGTTAGAATATTGATGTCTACAGCAGTTTTCTTTCCATTGTATTTTTAAAGGGAACGTATATATTCAACAGACTCTAGACTATCAAGATTTGAAGTTAAATAAACAAAGAAATTAAACATTTTGTGACATATTAATAAGTTGAGTATACAAACCTCCGATCGGGCTGCCACTTGATGAACATAGTAAAGCTATAGATTCAAACACAGTAAACCAAATCCATGTATCATGGCTAATCTTTTCTGTCGTAACAGTCAGATCTTTTTTAGCGTGTGAAATTCGTATTATGTCAACCACAATTGCTGCTACTTGAGCATAAATTGATAAAAGACCACCACCGAAGAAAGCCTCAAAAAAACCAGCAAGGAGTAATATCCATACATTCAAATTAAATGTTACTATTAAAGCTTTAATTCGAAAAATATAAAATCAAAGAAATTGAATTACATGCTGATATTGTAGTAAATGAAGCATAAAAAGTTTAATTATTTGGTAATTTTAATTACTAACACCAGCTATTGGATACATGTATAATTGTAAATTAAAGGTGGTGATATAAATGGAATTCATAGAATAACACATTATGAAATGTCTCAAAGAATTTAGCAAGGTGCTATGATTAACAGTTTAGCAAAAATGTCAATCAGTGTACTGTTAAAAATTGGTGATACTCCAAAATACGATTTTTACATTGCCAAATAAACCTTCATATTTGATTTGGAAGGTTGAAAATCGATCGTTCTGTTGACAGGTCTACCAAGGATATCTAGTCAATTGTGTCTTGAACTCTTCTTTCCATTTGCTTCAAAGTGGTTCATATTGACCTTATGTCCACCTCCAATTCTCCGTTCCATATGTGCATTGGTATACTCAGTTTCCAAGTTAGTATTTGTCTTGTAATATAGTCTAATAGTTGCCTCATTGTGTGAGGGACAATTTATCTGCAAGTGCAAATTATCCAATTGCATCCAAGTTTTCCACTGTGTGTCGTACTTTTCGTGAGATGTGAAGGTCTCATAATCCAGAAAACAGTTGACAGAAAGAGAAACATCGGAGTAGTCAGTCTTTTCTGATACTAATCTCCACTTGGAATGCATCACCGAGTTGCTGAAAATGTATGACTTTGTAATTCATTCTCTCATAGGCGTTTGTGTTGACTAAGAGTTCACAAGATCTTCCTGTTCACTCTGTCAAATGCTTTCTTATTATAAAAAAAGTTGATACATGGCGATGAGTTTCATTCGATTTAATTTTAAACGATGGTAATCTGTATTGCAGTTCGGATAAAATATGATCTATCTGTATGGAAGCCAGCTCGTTAATCGTAAAGTTAAGTGTATATTGAATCTTTTATTACTTTTAGCAAGACTCTACTTTAAACTTCCATTGGTAGACACCAGTGTGATTCTTATGTGGTTTACGCATCTATTAAAAGCGTTTTTCTTTGATATCTTGATGGGCAATCTCTCTTTGATTTTGCCTTGTTTTAGCTCCTAAATATTTTTGAACAGAACGTGGAAGGACTTTTGAAGTTGCCTCCATATCCGACTTCAATGTTTCAGTAGGTATGGTGACCAATTTTACGGTTAGCCATTCCTGATTTTTCTTATAACATTGATTATCTATTTTATTTTTGGTAGGGTTCCACCTGTTGAAAGTTTTGTGCATGGTGCCCCGATGACCATTGGATTCAGCCGTGCAGATCCACTCAAGAGCTCTTCAAAGTGCTCTGCCCATCGGTTTTGCTTCTCCTGAACTTCATCGTCTACCTTATTCGTTTTTGACTGGTCGCTCTATTACACCATATCCCCCCTGCTAAATCCTGATTCTCTTTGGTTGCCTTATAATTTATCGGCTTGCAGCTTGTTCTGCTGTGGTTGCCAGGCCTTTTGCGTATTTGCGTTTATCTGTTCTAACGTCCGACTGTAAGGCTTCTGTATATTTGGCCTGTGGCTTTATTTTTTTGGCTCCTGTTTGGGTGTTGTTGACTGCTGTCTTCTTGTTTATTGATCAGACCGTCTATGGAGATCCATTATTTATGCTGTTTTTTGAAACACATCAGCTCCTGCCATACTGAAGTTATCGGTTGTTTAACTCTTTCCATTTTCTATTCATAAAGGATTCTTCATGTCCTACTGTATCGTATAAGACTTGGAGATTAATGCTGAAAGCTATCGTGAACTCACTAAGCTTGTTACTACCCAAAAGAGAGTATGTGCTGAGCATTTGAATTTCTGGTTTTCCAGCCGTTCTTTAGCTTGAAATTCAGCTTGGCCAAAACGAGGTAGTGATCTGAAGTTATGACGGATCCTCCCTCTATTTATACATCTTACATATAACATACGACTTTTTCGTTGATGCGGATGTGATCAATCTGGTTTTCCGTAGTGTGTTTTGATGAAATCCATGTGCCTTGTGAATGAATTTGTGGTGAAAAATGCTAACACTTGTATCAATGTTGTTAAACGCGCACCGATCTGTCATTCTTTTGCCATTCTTCTTTCTTTCAGTGGATGTCAGACTCATCGTATCTTTACAACGGGTGTCGCCCATACCGAGTATTACGTTCAAGTTCCTTATTAGAATGATTACGTCTTTCCCCAAGCACATCTCTAGGTTGGTACTGCTCCTCACTCATCTGATCCTTATCATCTTCTGTGCCATCGCTGGTGATGCTTTATCATTGTTACATTCATAGAAATCCTTGCCTTTTTCGCGATTCGTTGTGTGTAGGACATTTTCTTCTTCGTGACCGGAATATAATAACAGCTCTCCAGAATTTAACCTTTTTATACAGATTGTATGCATTGTGTTTCACGTATTCACTGCTATTTAAACTACTCTTCCACTCTCCAACACTGTCATGAAATTCTATATATCTGTATTAGTCGTTGATACAGTTGTCAAAAGGCGCATCGAGTAAAATGGCTCCCTAAGAATCTAGGCTTTCCCCGTGAACCGTCATAACTTTTCAAGATGAAGCTCAGTTAACTCCCTTTACAGAGTTCAATTAGTTTTAAAATTTTTTTGCTAAGCGTTTTTGTAGTGAGGTTCGTTTTTACGAGACCGGGTTGCTAATCCTCCTTTACCCAGTCTTGGGAAAGGTAATAACCATAGAGCGTATAAAAATATAGTTGTACCTAGAAACAGGCCTCTGACAACATAAACTAATTCCCTATGCTGTATAAAAGTAACTGAAAAAGACATCGATTGTATGTAATTCGGAAATCTCCAGATGTTTTTATTGAACGGGATAGGGGATAAAATATTGATAATCGTCAAATAATATTCCCAACACCAGTAATGTATAAATACAGTGAAATAATAGTTAGATATAAAAGTACCTTAGTGGATTGGAGTGTGGACTAAGAATATGAATTATCCCTTCATGTGTTAAAATTCAAATACCAATGAAACACATCAGTATTTCTCATGATGACAAGTGTTGAAGTGGACAGAGATAGAATAAATACATTATTTTTATTTATGAGAATGTTTTGAGACAGAAGAATCTCATCATATAAAAATATATTCATCTTTGACTAAATATCACTAGATACTGCTGAATTATTTAACTTCAATAGCTTAAGAAGGCAGAAGAGAAAAAATATTTTCAGAATAAACACAGTTAAACTCGTAACATTTCTTATTATTCAACTTTTCATTCTCTCTTCCATATGCATATTGTGTGACCACAGAGTCCCTTCTACATTCATTTATATCACATTAAGATAATTCCCTGTTCTTCTAGTGTAAGTCATTTACTTAAAAAACAAATATCCTTACTATCACGATAGGACGTTGGCTATTTGATAAACTAACTTGTTCAGTTGAAAACGTTTTTAAGGACAGTATATTATCAAATTTCAATTTAAAATTTATTCCGGAGAACATTTACATTTACATAACAGTATGTTCATATAGTTCAGTGATAAATGATCAGCAGAATGGGGAATTTCGTAGATTGTAGTGGTTTTAATAGTTAAATTCATGAGTCTCATACTAAGACGAAATAGCCGTCTAGTGCTTCCAAATTTTCAATGGTGGTCTAGTTTGCATCAACTGATGAATTCAACTATAAATGATCATATCAAATATTTGTAGAAATATTACCATGTAAAAAACGATGTGCCACTAAAAAGCATCGATTATTAATATCTAATGTAAGTTAACAATACATTTAGAAGATCCTAATCATCAGTCTGTCAAATAATTAAATCAAACAATATGATCAGTAGAAATCAAAAACAAATTAATGACTTACACACTGTTGTTATATGTAAAAATTCTCCAAAGAGTAGAATACCTATAGCAACACGACGACCATGTCTATCTGATATATAGCCAATTATTAACATTGAAATTAAGCCTAATGTTATTCTGACTGCATTTGTAGTAGACTCTAGTGTAGCAGCTTTCTTTTGTGCAGCTCTTAGTTTTATTTTATCATCAACTGATCTGACATAGAAAGAAAAATGATTATGAACCAGTTGTTTGATGAAATGATAGTATTCATTTAAAAAACATAGTTATTCAGCTCATTCTTTAAGAATATTGAAAATTATTTATCGTCTAAGAGTATGCATTTAATTTTGTTATTTAATAGCGGGCACATTTCAGATATACATACGTAAACGTGTTAGTTTAATAGCCAGAAAACTATGTTTCCCGTGATGGATCCAGTGTATACTTGTAGCGAACAAAGTAGGTTCGAGCATGATTAAAAATGAACCCAAAGCTTTTATAATTGTATGAGTTCGAGTAATTCATAAGGTCTCATGTATGAAAAAGGTAGCTTGTTCTAGAATATTAATTCCTGGATTATGCAATCATTTTAGAAAGGATAAGCTGGATGATCACTTTTAACTAGAGTTGGATATTGATTGGTATGTTTAGAGTGAATACCTTTTTATTACCCTTGCGTACAGAGTAATCTACTGTTTCATTTTCTCAGGTAATGGAAAAACATTATGGTGATTTTTATTCATTTACTAAAATAAGTGATTTTAATATATGGGCTACACGGTACATCGGACTTTGTCAATCCAATATGATTAAAAATGTTTTACATCTAGTGAATAAGTGTTTGGTATGTGTTTATTGATATAATATGGACTGCATAATACACAGAGTAGTTTGATACAATGTATAGAATGGATCTAGTGATTATTTCATGCAAGAAGGCGAATTTCACCGCAATCAGTCCTATAATTTCCGTTCATCAACTTCCTACTGATTCTGGATCATAAACAGCAAAGTCTGTTTTCGAACATGCGAATACAAAGAAATGCTTATTTGGGAAATTTTTCATTAGAGAAACCTCACTGTGAATTTCCTATCAACTTGTAAATAAAACAGACATTTACTGATAAGAGTCATACGGAAAATGAACTTGAAACTTGCGTATTTGACTATTTTTTTCACTTTATATTGGAAGTCTGGGTCACTAAATGATGTAACTACCTACGTTTATGTAAAAAAGGAGATTCAAGTGTTATATCCGCTACTTTATTAACGCAGATTACGGTATACAACTACGAGGCTTGAACGTATAGAATCTCACAATCGTAAATCAGAAGACAGAAGAAAGATAGAATAGTGTTTTTTGGGTAAGAATCAAAATATACAGAAAAACATGGTTACTTATAGATATTAGCGTTTGTTATATCAACATCATAATTAAGCCAATCCGCAAAGTGGAAATTTATACTACTCTCCAATAGTAACATGCTACGTTGATAGTCAAGAACGATTCATCACTTTCTCATTGGATCGAAACTCTTCGGCTCCTTAAAGGCTTCTAAAACCTTCATCGTATATATATATTTATTGATTGATCAACAGAGTGAAATAATTAAGGTTACTTTTCTATAGAACGAAATCCAAAATTGAGTTTTGACTCTCAAGAGATGAAATACCTTAACTGATAAGTCATAAATAAATTGATGCAAATTAATCCATACCATTTTCTTTCGATTCATCAAGTTAAATCTATAGTATTCCTACTGTTTACAAATGTGATTCTGTTAAGTAAAATCAGTCAAGTGGTTAATGTTCACTAAAAATATTCACTGGAAATTTTCATGTTTTTAAAAAGAAAAACATTTTCAATAAAAAAACTTATTAATTGATTGACTTACAGATTTGCATATTTATGTCTTTCTTGACGTGTTAAATATGGTAGGCCTTGTTCCGTCACAGCACTTCAATTAAAACAAATTACAAGTTAATTGATAGTATTAAATAGTTTAATATCTTTGATAGTATGGATATTTTCATTGAAAACTTGTAAAGCAGTCATTATCCTAAATATTCCAAAATAAATGAAACTATCCATATTAGAAGAGATGAATAGTGGCTAGCAGTGGAATATAGGATGTACGTTTCTTCCTATTTTGGATTCGTCAGCTGAATGTACTTACATCCAAAAGTTGATGTTCAATCTGGGATGCAGATACATCAAGCTGAGAAGTCCTAAATAAGGTGAAATACGCATCCTGGATTCCACTACTAGCCACTATCCATCTTTGCTTATAAAGCTTGTGACTTAAGACAATATCGAGGCAGTCCCCACAGGATGCATATATTCCAACAAGAGAGTGATCAATTTCGCTCCTTAACAATAATGAGTAGATACAAAAAAATAATACTAAGTGAATGAAACCATCCATAATTCGAACATTAAACGATCTATCATTTATTCAAGTTAATTTACTGATTATTATAACAGTGCATAAAAGCAAAACCATATTGTAATTAAAATGTAGGTTGGTTTTTTCAGCTTCCAGTTTATCTTTTTTATGCATCATATTCATTTGCTAATTTCATTATACAAATATGTGTGAAGAATTCACATATCATGATCCTTAGTCTACCATTAAAAAGGAATCAATTGTTCAAGAATGTATTAGATTACTTTTTAATCAAGCTGTTGTGATACTCTGTAAAGTGTATGCAACTGTCCTCTTTCAAAGTATTTAAGATAGATCGTATCCATATTTTATAGCTTAGAGCATTAAAATACTGAAAAATGAACTTGTAATCAAATAAGCCAAATGTTTACCAACTTTCTTGACATACATATAATGAATTTCACAATACATTCGTATGGATGATATTTAAAAAGTGGAAAATTAATGATATTATTAGTTCATATGCGTTATTTATTTCTGTAACATGTACCTTTTCGATGAGGTATTCACTGTTAGCCTATTATAGATATCACCTATACATCTAATGAGAATATGATATTCTTACTGATCTGGTTCACTTTCAGCCATTAATCTTAATAATTTATTATTTTCTATGTCATTCCAGAATTAATGTTGTTTTTATCAATTCTATATCTAAATTAAGTTATCCTTCTCTAAATTACATGTTTACCCTAAACAGTTGTGCTTTTTTGTTCCATTTTGTCGGCCAAGTGGTTCAAAATTCCTAATAATTTCTGGTCATTCAGCACTGATTTGATTAAATGGTGGAATTTGGTTTTATGATGAAAATTTAATGTCTGGAATTTATTCATAAATTTACTAATCATATGAAAACCAGACATGTATTACATTGAATAGGGTTTGAAGCCTGAGTTCATACAACTTGGAAGAGGAGTGAAAAACGAATGAGGGTGCATAGTTTATATTTAGTCATATCTGTGAGAATCACCTAACAAGGAATTGAATTCAAACATATTGAACAGAGCTAAAATAATTCAGAAGCTTATTACCAGCTAATTTTAAATAAAAAACGATTCGTCAACATGAATTAATCTCTAAGTCTTATAGTATGTTATTCAAGTTAATCTGGATCGATGAATGTATATGAAACAAAGGCAATAAGTGAAATATGAAAAATTGTCGGGAAAAATATGATTTTAATTTACTTGTAAAATACATATTGATCTGATGTGAAAAGACATAGTTCAATTGATAGGTATAATGTGACTGTCATAATCATAAGAAGCATGATATATTTACATTTCGCGTTAACACGACCTGTATCAGGCCTTTTGTCATCCATGACAAAGGAAAGAATATATACTGTGAAACTATCAATGTTCTTGTTTGGATGATGAACAAAATGAGTTTAACTGCAGAATGACTAAACTTATCCCGAAATATTTCGTATTGTTCAGATTGTTTTCTAAAATATAAGAAACCGATTGCATAAATGTAATTAGAAGAGATAAACGAGTTTTCTACATTAGGTTTATTTATTCATCAAATTCAATGCAAATGTGAATGTGTTAATCACAAAAAGTAGAGCAAAACGGAATAAAGTATACTTTAATGAGAAAGTAGCGGTTATAGTATGATTTTCTTAATTCTCAATCAATATAGTACTGTAATTGAAAACTTATCTCCTTCTCCTTACATTTAAGGTAATATGTTGACTGATAAAAGTATGAATACTGAGTATAAGTTACAAATTATCTTAGCCAAGTTGGACATCATGTCAGATCAAAGTAATGACAAATCATTTTGTTGCTTCATTTCGATTATAATAATAAAACCAAAACACTTGAATATTTATGAAAAGATATCATTTTCACTACAAAAAATTATTTTAAGTCATGTCAGAATAATTTTCAGAAGCTTATTAGATTGACTGATAGAATTTCAACTATACATTACACAGAGAGGATCCAAAATAATTGTCAGATCACTATTTCAAAAGTACTTTCATTGATTGTATTATTTTTCCTTTCTAATAATTCTATTGATCGATGTTACCGTCAGTGATGCATTTCACTGCTTAATATTAAGTATGTAACATAAATAAGTAATCTCTACCAATTTATACATACATAATTAACTGATACCTTGTTCAGAGAAATTAAGTTCTGGTCAACTATACAAAATAAACTTTATTTTTACAATTCAATGTTTGTATTATTCAAAGTTTTATAAAACTGTTTTTCTAAATCATACCAACGACTTACCATACTGTGTTATTAAAATTAAGTCACAATAAAATTTTATATTTAGAATTTAAGTAGATGAGCAGACTGAGTAGTTTTTCATTGGTTAAATCGACTATTCATTTATTGGTCATAATGAATAAGCTCTTAAATAGCTTTAACAATACAATTTTTATCAATAAATAAGATTTTTTGGTATAGGGTTATAGAGATTGTTGAGTTTAGATTGATACATTATGAATGGAATAAACATTGGACCACCATTGAAAAGTTGGAAGCATTGGAAGGCAGTTTTTTCCTAGTGTATGGGATCCCTCAACAGTGCACAACTACGATCTCGTACACGGGATATAGTAAATATATCGAAACTAGATTATTAAAATGAATTGTTCAGGAGTTATTATTATATGGTTTACCAAAAATTGTCACGAAATACATCAATGATTAACTTTCTTCCTAAAATATCTTACAATACAGAATTAAACAAAGTGATAAATAGGCATCATATGCTACTGCATTATTTCAACTTTTTATTATCCTTAAAAATTCCAACAATATCTAATTAAAAAAAGACGTTTTATCATGTTGACTTGGATATACGAACAAATGAAGTATTCAGAAAGTTTTTCTAATCAGATTTTTAGGCATGTAGATGTTGTGTTTCACGTCATTTCTTTTCTTTTATCATAAAACAACAAACAACTTATTGGGCAATAAATGTTTCAAATAAAAAATTCGCAAAAATCCTTTACTATTTGACACGAAACAGTCTGTTTGTTTTACAAATGGTCAAGAAAATAATAATAAAAGACAATATAGAATAACAAGTTCAGTATGTATGTACGTATGTATGTATTGAGTGTTGCGAAAATCATATAGTCTGTTTATATAAGACTATGATAAAGCATTTTGTATTATAAAAACAAAGGAAAGTAAAATAAGTCAGTTATAAAATTTCCGCTAACGGGATATAACAATTTTTTTATTATAGAAGCTTTAAATCACTGACATCAACCTATTCCAGCAGGATAGTTAGATTTTTTTGATGTCTTACACAAGAATTAACACATTGAGATTCAAATGTTTTAGGTGAAGGACAATTCAAAATGCCACATCAATGAATTTGCACTAAGAACTTATTGATTACAAAACAGTTAGAACGACAATAAACTGGTCTACATAAAACATGTTGAGGATTTAATCCCATTTCATATTTAAGATATGAGGATTTGCGAATTTAAAATTCAACTGCTGGCTAAGTCAACATAATTTTTATTAAATATTTTGATGGCATTCCAAAACAAACTGAGAACATCCCATACAAGGAAACACATTATTTATTACACTTGCTTATATAAAATTGCTTATAACACGTAAAACACTAGTTAGGAAACACAAATGATTAAGAAGTATGATTGATAAGACAGAATTGTTTATGCTTCTCTGATTAATGACATCCTTGAAGAGTTTTTTTCAATACAACCAATGTACCGTATTATCCCCTCTATCTGTTAATCAGACAAAAACTACATCTTCAAACATTTCATTAACAAGTATCGTGTAGTTTCTCCTTACAACTTGTTATTACTCACATATTCGTTATACTGCGCTTCTCAACGTCTCCATAAATGTCGTCCTATAGATGTAATCAGGTTAACATAATTGGGCATTTATACTTACACGAATATATACTTACTTACGCCCTATTATCCCTGAAAGAGTAGCATAAGCTGTCCATCAGCACTCTCCATCAAACTCTGTCCTGGGCAATCCTTTCCAGTATTTTCAGTCGCCATTCATCCTATTCATGTCTGCTTCCATTTCCCGACGTAGTGTGTTATTCGGCCTTCATCTTTTCTGTTTCCCTTGAGTATTACAAGTTAGCGTCTGCCTCGTGATGTGGTTTGGTGATTTCCTCGACGTACATCCTATCCACCACCAACGTCTCTTCCTAATTTCTACATCAGCTGGAAGCTGGTTTGTTTTCTCCCAGGGTAGGTTGTTGCTAATGGTATCCGATCAGCGGACATTCAGTTTCTTACGTATAGAACTGTTTATAAATACTTGAACGTTTTTGATGCTGTTAGTAGTAGTTCTCCAAGTTTGAGCTCCGTACAGTAGAATTGTCTTCACTTTCATATTGGATAGTTTGAATTTCGTGTTGGTTGACAGACAGTTGTTAAGAGTTCCACATGTACTTTAATTGTAGGAATGCTGCCCTTGCCTGGCCAATCCTCGCTGTTACGTGTGCATCATATCCTGCGCGTTCATCGATGATGCTGCCCAGGTACATGAAATTTTCCACCGGTTCCAGAGTTCCTCTATCAAATGCGATTGGGCTGGTGTTCTCCGTGTTGCTTTTTACTTTGTGTTCCATAATATTCTCCCGTCCACGCTGTCAAATACTTTCTCAAAATTAAGAAAGTTTACCTTGAAAAAATTTCAGAAAGTTTCCATTCACAAGATAGTTTATACATAATTTTAATACATGTTCCCTTATTATAATTTAATTCTATTATTTCAAATATAATTATTAATATCGAACTTCATTAAGGGATTTCACCGATTCCATTACCTGTCGTACAAGTACTTATTTACATTCCTTACTATGTAACTGAAATATATGTTAGACTTCTCACTAAACATCAACCCCACAACCATATATTTCACTTTATTTGTTTATTAGAACCTGTCTTTTAGGATTTATCACCTTATCCATATTATTTATTAACTGATCAGTAATGTATTTACAATTGCTTTTAAAAATTCTTGAATTTGTAATATTATCAAGCATGTCAATAATTAATGAGTACGTTTTATATTTATACATAAATATATCAGTGTAGACATACGATCACATCGAATTCAAGAAATAGTTTTGTCTTTTAATATGCTGTTTACCCGAGACGCATAAAAACAAAAGCAAACCAACTGTTGTACAGGACGAAGAGCCTTTTGATGAAGTAAACAATGATGATCCAAATGAAGATACTCGTAGTATACCAATGGAATTCGAAAGGACGTTAACAAGTAGAGTGACAGATGCATTTCAAGTTAGTCGATTGACATTTATTTTCTCAGCTACTATGTTTCTTGTCTTTTGTTAGAGTATCATTACAATAACATTTCTATGGTGTTCTAAAGATAAAATGTATGGCCATTCAGGAATGGTAACGTAATATATTACTGATCATATGGGTTAGCAAGCTATCCATACACAATATTATGAGCATTCCAACAATGTATTTCATTAGGATATTACTACACTTGTGACCACATTAGGTATTTTATTGAATAGTGCTTGCGATATATCAATAAAAATGAAGTCTCGTCAATGGTTCAAGATAAATTCAAGTCTACAACTGAATACACCGTGTTCTGATAAATGTAGAGTAATGGAGAGTTTCAAACTATGCGATAATGACCAACAGTTCCATCTTCATTTCAATCGAACCAACAAACGATACTCACCATCACTCACTAAATGGAACAAGTGACTCTACTTGAGTTATATCACAACCTGAATGCAGTAGAAAATGTGACTTACTCGAACCAAACTCAATGCATTGAAAACATAGCAAACAAACCCAGAATTGAAGTTACAGGTTTTCACCTCCAGTGTGGTTGCGTGCATCCACCTCTGTGAAGTCACATACTAGAACGGTAGAGCATTCCATTGTTCATTTACCTCCATTTCCTTTATCAGCGACAAGTGTTAAATAATTTGTCATACGTCACTAATCGATTCGTGATATATTCGAGGAAGGATCATTTCATATTTACAAGACAACTGACTGGATAGATGAATCAGTACATTATCTCACGGTGTAAGCCGTAGAATGACAACAACTGTATCAGAAATCGCAATCATAATAACCATCGTAATTACTTCTTAAAACTATTTTCAAATGTTTCTGTGTCACTCATGTCATATCGTGCAAAACTGAATACCATGATTACCATGCATAATAAATCGGGACTTTAGTGACCCTTCATCTTAATCTGTTTATCAATAAATTACTGAATCAACAAAATCATTCGAAGCACGTAAACAGAAACCAGATAAGTTACCATCTACATCATAATCATTTGATAAAGGTCAATAGATTTCAAAAGAAAAGTCATGTCTGTTCTGAACATAAACAACTAGTGACATTTCCATCAGAAATCAATTTAAAATGACTTTCTCACTTATCTGCATATGAATATTATGCAATCAATAATCAATTACTTATGAAATCCAAAGCTCTCACACAGTAGTCAAATCGAAATTCAGTTCGTTACAACACTCAAAGCGTTAGTGTTTCATTCTCTATACTCAATCAACACAAAACTCTTGATTGCCAATTCTACTGATTTGCTGACACAGATCGGATAACTGTGGGTCGAATCGACTAATCGATCGGTCTTTTACACGACTCTGTTGTTAACACTATTCACACTGTCAGTCGAAATAAATATTTATCATACATTGTCAGTAGGCATTAAAAAATAGGTCTGAGAACATTGCCAATAAATGCGAGTTGAATATTTCTGTTAATCGCAGAGATTTATCTTGGTTAAACAACTGTTGAAACCGATAATCATCACAAGAGGTTTGCTTCGTCCAATTATGGGGAACCTCAACTATGTATATTCACATCACTTCTAAATAGGTATGTAAGGTCTTTCATGTGATTGGTCAAGTATTTATGAGAAATATTCGTATATCGGTCGTGTAGTGTCTGAAAGTTCCGACATAAACTTACAAAAAATACAGATACACAATAGCTTTCGTTCATAGAATATACGAGTGAGTATTTACTAACAAACTAACATGACCCTATTTAAAGTACACGACTGGAGACAGGGATTTAATAAATGAGAATCAGGTGACAACTACAAGTACAACAAATGTTCACCAAAATTTATTTCACCAAATCAACACAAAAATTGATGAGATCTTAGATGAAAGGACCGGTAAATTAAGTGAGTTAGGTCAATCGAAAAAGTAAGCATCATCAAGTGTATTTATTTCACACGAAGAATACTCGAAAAGGTCCGAAAAACATTGAAGCATAACAGCAAACAGGGTATAACATCAAGTTCACTAGTTTATACAGACAAGAGCTTGTAAGTAAATTCAATCACGTCTAGTCAAATTTAAGATAGTCTACATGGTGTGAGGTGGTCCGATATTCACTAGGTGCTTCAACCTCATGCAGTGGTTAATATGATGCGAAACGTACAAGAGGAATAAAACGGACGAAAAGCCCCAATAAATCCAACTTCGGTGAGAACAAACAAACGTTAATTGTTCCGGAATCTTAATCTCGTCAAATTTAGTTTCAAAACAAACATTTATTCGGTTTACCTATTCAGCAGTCTTGTCCAGTACGATGTGTTGAGACCGACAAGTAACTAAGAATATGTTATTATTATTATTAATGGCTTTATTTGGGTGAACTGGCAATAAAAACATCATTCTATTGATTAATACATGGTGTACTATTCTCCAGACTCTTTGCTGGTCGTGGGAACAGTCACATTTGTATTAAATGACGATTGCTTTGTCCAGTAATCCTTGGTCGGTTTGAATTCCAGATGGATAATCTTCGTCTGTGTTCACAAAATGATCTCTGATTTTACTAATGACCCATACGTGAATAAAAGAGTACGAATCGCACAGTTCTACATGTTACTAGTAAGCACACGGAAATAAACTAATTGTAAATATCACAGAAACACATATGATCCTCAAGTAGTAGCTCACGTTAGTAAGAACATTTATTTGAGCATGGCAGAATATATCCATTTGTCAGTAGACAGTCTAGACGTCTTACGTCCTGCTAACTCTCATCTGCTAATCATCAGATACAGTGTTTTGTTAACGACTCAAACATTCAATAGTTGAGATACATATTCTTTTCCAGTCAGAGTTGCGGTTTATGCTGCACAACCTTGGTATTATTGTATGATTTTCTAAATCCTACCCATGTCCTTTACTTGTAATTATGTTTTCATTGGAAGGTCGCCTTATTAAAGGTGTATGGATATTCCTCCAGTTCAAAAATAGCGACCTAGTTCTCGTCTCGAAGTACAGAAGATCTCCATTCATTGTTACCTTTTCCATGATCATAAAGACAGCTTTTCATTCAGGACTTCCTAATTTCTGAAATTAACGGTTATTTTCTTTACCAATCTGGCTGTTTTTAGGAGTAGGAAGTGTCACAACTGTCAAGTACCCATCCCAAACTAACACAGCTCCAAGTGTCATAAAATCGTTTTCACTAGGAAGCTCAGTTTGATAGTGCTAAACTTTGTGGATTATCATGTTTCCCGAGATATTCACGAACAAATCAAAGTTGCTCGCGGATATCACTGATGGTCAAAGTTTAGTTCACAACGAGCTGTTGATATGTTACAAGTATTTTCTATTTCTATTATTGAGCTTCACATTACCTTTAGTTTGTGTGATCATTCATGTGAATCCCTCCTATATATACAAATAAGCAACCCAAGTTTACAATAATGCAGTAGCCCAAACATTGTTATTCATAACCTGGAAAATATGTGTCGATTGAATTTCCTACAACATATCAATTGATTGAAATAAAATTGTCAATACACATCCCAGAGTAGTACAAGCAATTACGGTCTAATGATGTTAGAAAAGATTAGAGATAAAAAAAATGTATAATTTCAAGTAAAGGAATGAACTCTCGGAATAAAAAATATAAAATAGTTTTTAAACTGGGAATCTAAGAGAAGACAAAGAATGAATGAATATATACCGTTGTGGCAGATTATGACCCATGTCGATCAATATCTCAAACTATTGGTTGAGATAACCACACGGAATTAAATTAAATCTAATATTTCGCCTTTCGAATCATTATTTACAATTTCTGTCTAGAAGGTCAAACAAAGTGAAACAGAAACAATTTGAAATATTATGACTCTAATTTTTCAACTATATGACTACAGAAAGAAGCAAAAACTAGTTAAACTTTAAATTTGTCAGTAGTGCTGCAAACATCTAGCTCATTGATCGTATATTTATTTTCGAAAACGAGGTTATACTTTATTACCGATAAAATTGTACATGACACCTAATTTTAAGTTGTCGTAATAAGCAAAGTTTACCACGTTGACAAATCATTTGGCATTGTAAGAGATGTGTTGAGTTTTAAAGGATGTGAGGTTTGTAATTAAACACAGTGAATAATATAATCCTTAATTAGTTGAATAATAACTCAGTAAACAAAGGGTTCACTCTATAAATATTGATGGGATCATTATCTAGCATACACATAATTCATGAGCACTCATATGTATATTTCCAACAATCATAATTCTATCAGTTAATGATAGTACATTCTCATCAAGATCTTCTACAAATAACTCAGTTATTTTATAACAAAATAAGTATTTAAATTGACATTTACGCGGTTTGTCGAAATTTCTTTAAAACGATTAGAAATGATACTTCATATCAGTTATTACTTCTCATTATCTATTGAATTGTTTCAATTCCAAATGTTGAATTGATGTTTTTGATCATTGTGAATTATATAAGCATAAAACTTCTGGATTAACAGTTATCTTTATAGTTAATAACAAAGCAAAAATCGAAATTGATTGTAGTATCTATTGCGACATATCAATATTATGTCATTTCAATGGTCAGCTGATTTAAATTAGAATGATGACAAGTGGTTTTCATTTCTTCACCCATATTTAATACATAGTTAATTGATAATATATAGATATCTTATATAGCCAAAATAAAAATGTAGATCTAAATGATGATTCACTTATGATAAGTAATATAACTTCAATAGTCATCTGTGACTGATATATTAGAGAAATCATGTGTGCCTTTGGTTTATTCCATTAAAAATCTATTTCGAAGAGTGACAAATATACTGTTGAATATAAATGATTTAACTACACTGTGCATAGTATGTAATAACATTACCAGTTTATGAAAATATTATATATGTCTACAGAGTTCTACAGAACAAAATTAAATAACTATTACCAAAGTATTTGATCTTAATCCACTGGTCTGTTAGAACTAAAAAGACCTTGGAACTTTGAAGGGTATAATGTCACATACTACATAGGCATTTCATAAATGAATAATCGAAACATCGTGGTTTTGTGACTTATTTCGGTAGTATTTACTGAAGAGAAACAGGATTCAGTATTTGGTTGGCACAATATATCCTTACAAATGAGATCAACTTTAAGGTGTACACTATAATCTAATTTTAACAGTTTTATGTTTATACAGTGTCGTTAACATATACAAAGTTCATCCCATGAACCATACTTTGGTTAAATTATTTATACTGTCTAGACTGTTTAACACTGCCAATTCTAAAGTTGTAAGGAACAAGACATTGTGATTTAATTAGTTTTGTATAGTTGATGAAAATTTCAATGAAAAGTAAAAAATCACTTTTTTTTAATTAATTACATTCTTTACTCTTATGATGTCCGTTATTCATTCAAAAGACCTAAACAGATCAACGAAATTATTGTAATAACGTTCTGCTAATTATACATAATGAAGTCAAATATTTTTTCATCAAAACGACTTACATAATGCAAAGTAATTTTACGAAATAACTTTTCAAAAATGATACTTGAACGTGTACACTGATAGTTATTATTTCTGTTCACAGTTCAATACACTATATAAAGTATATGTCTTTTCACATCCAACGATTATGAAACAACATTACAAATGCTGACTTGATATCAACTTTGTGACCAGTCTCAATTAAATGTTTCGCAATGGAGGAAGATGTCTGTCTATCGTGTGATCATTTTTGACCATTGGAATTCATTTGTTTCTGCAACCATTTTGGTATGTGTTCACCCATGCAACAAGAAATCGGGAAATTAAGCTTATCAATATTTGTATTTAATATGACTTATTACCCCAAAGAGTTTTTGAGTGTATCTGGTATGAAATGAATTCAAAATTTAATGTGTAGATTTGTGTGGTATTGTCGAAAATTCAATGAATAAATGAGGGTTTTCTCGATGATTTTGGACACATCTATCGTATTTTTGATTGCCGAACTAAAAGTACAATTGAGTCTTGTTAGAGAGATCTAGATTATTTTTCGAAAAACGTTCAGAGGTGAACTGAAAACGTTGGAAAACATTTTGTCCAGTCAGAGTTGAATAGAAGTTTCTCAGAAACATTTGAGAAGTAAAGAGTCATGTGTCATATTTCTGATTGGATGGTTATCTATCCTGCTACTATATTTAGTATGGTTCTAGAACCCTCAAGAAACACAAAGCCGTTTAAAATGCTACAAATACTCAGATTTTCTGCACACAAACTAACCTAAGAGTAAAGTGTTCTAGATTTCTCGCATTTTCTCTCCCGTTCAATTTCTTGTATAGATTTAGCCTTTCGTTATTGGAAGAGCTTAGGAAGCTGATTCAAGAGTTCAGACAGAAGATTTAGAAAGTATATTAAGCTTATCGAAGTTTTTGGTGACAAAAAAAAAGTCATATACTTTTTTCTTGAAATTAAGGGAAAGTAATTCGAGATAATTCAAAAATATAACTCGATATAATTCTCTATTGGAGTCATATCCAGGGTGATTGAAATAAAGGATTATATTTTTTCATGTTGGCCTACCTTTAATTGACTCATGAATTCAAGTAATAAACTACTAAAATCTCCACAAAACCCCCCTTCTGATTTGATTTGTTAATCAACAGTTACCATAGTGTAGCTATCTGTACCTTATATTGTCTTTTCAGATTGCTTAGATTCCCTCCACATATATAAGGATTGGACTTTTAATTTTTCTTAACATTTTCAAATTATTTGTTCAAATTAAATTCAGTCTTATGTCCTGTTTTTAACTAGATTAGTGATATTGCTGAATTTTTCTTTAGTTTCTTCATATGTTTCGAAGATTTAGAAACATGTTCGAAATATTGTGTTTGTTTAGGATCATTATGATCTCCCACGGTACAGAATGACTACAGTTTAGCTTCAGTTTATCAGAAGACATTACACTTTTTTCTTTCATAACTACAGTTAAGGGTAGTGATTCACTCTTATTTTAAACATGATTACATTTACTACTTTGTGGATGCTGTGAATGTTTCAAAAGTAGGGGAAAAATACTTGTGAAATCGTTCGTTTCTTTAATTGAAAATTTATTAATTGTAATGACGTATAATTAGCACTGGTTCCTAACCAAATCCATTAAAAAAATCATATTTTCTTAGGCTGACCAATATACTTTCATAACGTTCGTTCTCAAATAGACTATTTGATGTAAATAATAATTAGTCAATTTCTAGTGGACTAACCAATTGATATCAATGATATAGATGATTACTCTGCAGATTCCAAAATGCTAAACAATGAATTATGCTATATAGTCACAGCTTCCAGTCATTATAAAACAATATTGGTGTTGAGAGTTTGGCTTGTTAAAAAAAACGGTTGGAAGAGTCACTTAAACTCTCGTAAGTAAATAGATATTTTTGGTGTGAACAGAGAAACAGAGAAGTTATGACAAACAACGGAAACTAATTTGGGGAATGTTATTTCACATAATTCAAAGCTTGTAAAACATTTATTTTTGTTCCTATTTTATTCTTCAAGCCATAACTTTCGTTTGATGTATGGTTTAATACCATACGCTTTTTCTTCCAAAGTTATTGTAATTTAAACATAACCTTTGCTACTCTATTTCTCCACCCTAATCCCCGGTTTTGGAAATAATTGTATTTTCTTAGTTTAAAGCAATTAGTCCCTTTGATAAATTTCAGAACATAGTTCTGATAATCTTCGTCTTCTTATTACATTATCGAGATTTTATTAATTTTTTGTGCGTTGTGGTCTCGTGTCATTTAATTATTCATTTATATTTTTACACTAATCTGAATCGGAACCAGATCGGAGTGTGAATTGGAATTGTGAACAAATCGAGTAGTGTTCCAATTGACTCGTCCTCTCTCTCGCGAGCTTGTCAACCAATCAGGTGACCGAAGAGTTTACGTCTCTCTACCCAAGGCAGTTAGTCTCACTTCGAGCCCACACAGGTTAAACCCGTTAGCCTATCGTTCAAGAACTTAATCTAAATCGATACAATTTATCTTCTGTATATTATCAGATAGACATATCAAGGACGTAAGAGTTCAGTGTGGAAACAAATACATAAAACGTTTACCTTAGTTTATGCCATACTTTTACCCACCAGACTGAAACATTTGTGGTACTTGTGTGTTGAACTTTGATGATTCACTTTTTAGGATTGAAGCATGTTGTGAATCTGGATGTAAATTCGCTTTTTTATAAGATAAACTGAAGATAAACTGACTGACACATTAATAGCAAATGGTTATCCACTCAAGTTTATTAATAAGTGCAAAAGTCAGTTAATGCCAAGACCTCTAATTTATTCAGTGCCAAAGAAAAAGGTTTATATCAATCTACCATATAGAGGCGAATCTAACAGTATAGTTTTAAGGCACAGATTGGAAGCTGCCATCGAGAATACGTATTTTGCTGCTCAGTTGGTAGTGATTGAAAAGTCTAAGGCCATGATTCCTAATAGACCCAAACAATGCACTAATGATTACGTCACATCCCATTGTATTTACCAATTTACATGTTTATGTAGACACACATACATAGGGAGGAGTAATCGAACAATACAATCAAGGGTCAATGAACATGTGCCTAGGAGGTAGTAAACCAAGCTCATCGATAGCGAAACATATAATTGAGACGGGGCACAAAATTAACATTAATACAGCATTTAGAATGTTGTATAGAAATTATCAAGGTCGAATTCTTAAGTTTATTGAAGCCTTGACTATTCGTAAATTTAAACCCCCCTTATGTGTACAAAAACAATTTGTCGTAACCTTGAATTTACCTTGGTAATCCTAGGATAACGCGACAATTTCTTATTCTTTCTCTCCCCTTAGTTATTTTAATTGTACTTTTATTTGTTTGACCTTTATTAGTTTTCATATAAAAATGCCCTGACAAGTATATGTGTGACCAGATTGTTCGAAATGTATAGCGTTAATACATCACATTTTTCAGATCAACTCCGTCTTCTCATTGTTCTATCGAAATAAACTGATGCATTAGAAGAAAAGTGGTTTTCCTTAAACAGAATAATTTACTACTCTAGTACGTTATTTTCATCTTCAGATAATAAATAGTAACAGAAACGGTTCATTCAACTAAATGATCACCTAATAACATTAAAAATTAGTTCCCTGTCAACTTGTTATTTCAACCTCAGGGTTTTTAATTCTTGATATTTAAAGTCATATAAACGTCAGAAATCAGTCTGCTTAATCATCAATTAAATGTAATATCAATTCATAAGCAATGTGTCGATTCGTTCTCTCAGTTATTGATAAGTATTCTCGTCAAAATTTATTAAACAGAAGTAGAGCACTTTCACTCAACACTGTTTTAATCGTTCTTTTTAGATATAGACTGTATGGTTCAACTTACAGTTTATAGTTTCTTTTTATTTGATAATGAAGCGTGATTAGTTTAGTTTGAACATTTATTTTAAGAAAGCATACATACATTTCTTATCAGAAACAATTAATCACTATACAAATAGGTAATATCAAATAAATTCTTCCCAACCGCATTTATACAAAATCATTTTGTTGGTAAAAATTTGTTTTTTGGAGGTAGTGTTGCGAGTTTATGTCCGGCTTTTTACCAAGTGATTTATCCAACAATCAAAATACGACTTATACAATCTTAATACTGTGCCAAACCAATGACATTCGACCGGTATAAGCAGCCTAGCGTCCTTATTGGTCCTATGTCCGCTTAGCCCGTCCACTTGAGTCCAGAACACCAATACCAGCTTCCAATATGCGAATCGAATCTTTTATTTCAGACATACTGAGTTTATATATCAATCAAACAGACCGCAACGCACCATAAAATAGGAAATAACATTTGTACACAATAAAGCCAAAAAAGTGGCTGTGAACATGGGAGGTGGTAGTCAATAAACTGAACATAGCTTAAGAACAGTAAATCGTACAATAATAAATTATAGGTCAAAATAAAGCTTATAATAAGAGGAATATAAATATACATAATCGAGTTATTGAATAGTTATACCATAAAAATGTATAGATCATATTAGTCAATTAACATGTCTCAGAAATTACTCGTGATTTAATCTTCGCTCGGATATAACAGGTAGAGTTTATTGAAATGTAAAAAAATATAACTTTAATACACTATTTCGAAATTTTGGTTTGTTCATCATATATATTCTCTGAAGTGTTTTCCATCTGACTGATATTCATATTTTTATTGGTTGATCCATATAAAAATCTATCAAAATGTTCACAGAAAAATAAAACACATTTTTCCTCAGGATATTCATCGAAAATCATGAAGACTTCATTGAAATTCTGGATGAATTATTCAAAAAACTTTTGATGAAAACATATTTTTAGTTTAATTTTTTCAGAAGTATAAGAAATAGTCCGGAATAAAGAAACTAAATACCTGCGTTAGTATTTTACTTTGTATATCAGTATCATGAATTAGAAAACTTAAATTTAACAATTTTTAACAGAACAATAAGTTCCCTTAATTTACCAATTCATTGAACATTAAAGTAAATCAGTTTTGGTTTAAATCAGTTACCTATAAATTTAAAAATATGATGTAAATTTATATCGATGTTGCTAAGGTTACAATATAACATTGATCCACGGTCATTGTAAACCCTTTATTTAGAAAAAAATAATCATTATGTACAGTTAATAATCGTACACCCAGGTGTTAAAACGATATTTCACAAGATATTTATGTGAAATTACAATGCTTATAAGATTATCAGCATAGAGGTTGGGGAGATTGTTAAGTTTTTGATTGAGATCATGAACCGATTGACGTTAGACCACCATTAAGCATTCGCGCGCGAGACTGAAGGCCCTGGGTTCGTGGATGCGCACCGCTGAGGAGTTCCACAATAGGATGAAACGGCAGTCCAGTGCTTCCAGGTTTTGAATGATGGTCTAACATCAGTCGGTTCATGATCTCAATCAAAAAGATCATAAGACTGATTGCTTACTTGATCATAAAACATTTTGGAAAACAATTTTTATAGTAAAACATAAAGATGACTCGTTCAATTTGTGATCACAATAATAATACACTAAACCTTAATACATTATAATCAGGGATGGATGGTGGCTAGTAATGGAATCCAGATTAAGAAAAAAAGCTTACGGAATCATTTAATGAATCTTATAGTCGATATAAGATAATGAACTTTGAGTGTAATGTTTACTTTAACTTTGAAAATAATCAATGTTGACTGTTCTGTTAGCATCAAAGTGAACAACAAAGAGGGAAGATTAATCAATTAGTAAAAATCAATTAAATGATCATAATTTAAATAATTTTATTGTTTATAGCATACTGTTTTTTCGTAAAGCTATTAAAATATTCTGTAACTCAGCCGTTAACATTATATCATCAGCCTTAAAGCAGTACCATTCACCATCTAAGTAAATTTATTATGTATTCCTTTATTAGTCATGCCGTTTTCAAGAGTTTAACGGGATATTAGGGTAAATATAAGAAATGAAATAAGGATCATTGTCTAAATGGTCTAAATGCAATGATATGATCATTGGTTTAATTCCCAAAACAAATTTCATCCAGATGGACCAAACATTCTGAAAGTAATAAGGTTGATTTGACTTAATCGACACTTTCATAGTTTGTACAACGGTTTCAACTATCAAATAAATATTAGAAATAAGTTGTAAATGTTCTTTTTATCTCGATAAGGTGAATAATTACTAACAACAATTAGTAAGTAGTTATGTTCAATTTGTTAAATTTGTTTTGTGTTATCTTCAATATTAAGCAGATTGAACCCATAATTCTTAGATAATTTTATTACATTTAAAGTTTTCCCTGAGAACCTTTACTTTTGTGAAGTATTTTCTCTGAGATTCTTTTATGTATTAGAAATGCTGAAGAAGAAAGATTTTAAAAATAAATCAGTATTTGTTTTCATTGAATTAAATCTACATAAATAACATACCCAGTTGTTATCAGTGCAATAATTATCAAACTGGAACAGACCAAGAATACAGCACCAGGGAATAGATCAGTTGTTGAAGAATAGATTGAAATTAATACAGAAAAACAAGTAAGTACGCCCAATCGTGATACAAACGCCACAAATGAATGTATCATACCTGTTAAAATGAAAAGAAAAACACGGAGGTAACTGAACAAAGGAACATCATAATTATTTAAGTTACGTAAAGTTATTATGAGAAATTGATGAAATATACGCTTTCCAAATGAAAAAAACACATTGGGAACTATAAAAAAATATACAAACCATATAAACTTTTCTACATTAGATATCTGACTTTCCTATACTTTGTCATAATTACAGTTAAATAAATTGGATCTATTTAAAATGAATTCGGTACATTTCATGGAACTTATTTAGATTATTCGTATTTCTGTCTCTCTATATAAAGTATTTTAATATCCTATAATACTAGACAAGAATGACAAAACTGTAAAAACTAAAATACCACAATGTTATAAAGTTTATTTTACGTTTGTATTACATGAGACATAATGCTAGGCACTAAACTGACTATGGTTTTGTGCATTTTTTTAAAAAGTAAACGATAACAAATGCATCTGACTATCTGTATAATCAATTTATCATTTGTATATTAGGAATATTTTACCTTTCATATATGCACTAAAATTATACTACAAAGAATGTATTCACTTTAGGAATATAACTGATGTTTATAAACCAACAATAAAGATTTTGAACAGTAATCCAGCAAGTATGAATGCTCTTCTTAATGAGGTTCATAAATGTTAAAATTAGGGAAAGAGGTTCATATTAAATGGGAGAAATATATATAGTAATCTTAGTCCGAGATATTAATATTAATATTAATGATTTATTGTAGTATGAACAATGGCGTATAAAAACTGAATACATTATGAATAATTCAAGTGGAAATCGTAAATCTATAGTCAGAATCTAAACTGATTGTATAAAATATATTCTTATATAAAAATTGATTCAGTTCAATTAGATGGTTTACATTAGGTTTAATAGAAACTGTATCTAAAATCCCTAAAACTGTCCAAACCCTGTAGGTTTCTTTTAGTGCTATTACTATATATTTCTTTTTCTTTAATGACTCCTCTCATCATACAGAAAAAACTGAATTGATCATTTTTCTAATAGTCTTCACTTGGTAAACTTTACACTATACAGACTACAAAGAAGTAACCTTTTTTAATCAACTAACTTTTTCTAATTCAGAGTTTTCAACAAAGTACCGAAGCCTCAGAAACTTGTATAAACTAGAATAAAGTATATATATATATATATATATATATATATATATATATATATATATATATATATATATATATATATATATTCAGGAATAAAATGTCTGGCAACTATTGGTTGAGAAGATCAAGAAGGAGAGAAAAGGAATTAAAAAGCATTTGGTATGAAAATGGAGGAACAATGAAGTCTGAGACAATTATTGAACATTTTGGAATTGAAGTATTGGAGGTATGGTTTTTCTATTTTACCAAGTAACCCTGTAATTTTGTGCTAAATATAATCGGCTGTCCTCACCTATGTTCTCCTTCACTACACTATGTCTGGTGTTTGCAAACTTCATAATTTCCTTAATATATAATTAAATAAATGCCATCTCAAAAAATAAAATAACTTATGGCTTTTATGGCATGCCTTCACTAAAGCGTCCATTAATGATATCAATTAAACCCAACAATCTCCTCAATCCTTTACTGATAAGTGGTATTTGTAAATATCTTATGATTATAGCTAATGAAATACATCCTTAAAACTGACTAACTCATACTATATATATATTAGTATTAGTGAATTCTTTTTTCCTAAAAAACTAAATGTTAACAGTATTCTTGAATCAGTGCTATTCAGTATAATAAACTTCATTTAAGGCAATAACTGTAAATCAGTTACATTAAAATAATGTTAGAATATTTGTATCATCAATCACTTACCCTGCTTTGACTGGTCAGTCCACATGGATATAAGGGTTCTTAGTATTGGATTATTCAACCCTTTAGCAAATCTTGGTATGGTAGCTGAATAAAACAAAGTAAAAAAGAATTAAAGTGGATGTAAGGAATTTTTGTGTAGAGACAGAAATATTAGAAACACTATTTAGCTTCGTCTTTTACATTTCACCTTGTATTAGAAGAAAACATAAGAATATTGGGTATAAGTATAATATACTGACAGCCTTGAGTTGCATAATCACTATTAGGAAAAACATCCCAGATATTTTATGTGAAATTTGAAGTAGAGTAAGCGATAACTTGTATATTATTACTGACAAAATGAAAATATGCAATAATTCATTTACAAAATGCTTGGAATTAATAAAAATGTCTATTATCCAGCTAGAAGTGAATTCAAGGTGGTACTTAAGTTAAATTACAAAAAATACATGCTCGGAAGTCAGATTGTGTATTAAAAAGCTTGATGATACGCAATGCGTTATCTAGTGTTTAATGGAGCCTTTAAGTATTCACCCTTTCTAATTTTTCTTCTAGATATCAACCTTAATTTTTTTCGTTTGTAAATAGGAGGGTTTCTAATCAGTTGACTATAGCTGATGTCGTTTGATAATGAAAACCATAACCCTAATTTGTAAACGTAATTCAAAACTACAGATTGAATCTCACTTCTTATCCTTAACTTTTAGCATGATAGCTGTTGTCAGTTGATGGTGAAAAATATATGTGGGTATAACCGTTTAGAGCACTAACTCACAGCCATCCCTCGACTCCTTATATATGGACTTAACTTTTCGCTTTTACTGCAATAAATAATTCAAGATTATTCCTATCAAAGCTATTATCTCGCTATTATTTGTTTCCTTTTAATTGTTAATTATTTCATTGCTAGTAAACTTTTACTGATTAGTTAGTAAGTCGTTTAAGGCTGCCAGTGTATCCTACTTTTATTGAATATTGTTCATCTGGATTATAAATCCCGAAATAATTTCGTGGATGACATCCAAGAATGTTCCGATTATTTAATGGCTTACGTTTTTATTAATATAGAAGTGAGTGATGGTCCAGTGACGATCCCTTAACTTTAAGTTTTATCTGTAACTAATCAACTGTCATCCGATATCAAATTCACGGTTATGTTACTTTTCTTGAATACTTAATTTTTGCCAGGATTGGGTTTTGTGCAGGTTGTCTAGAGGTTAAGCGTTCATATGTGAGAATGAAGGTCCTGAGTTCGAAGTCAAGGTGCAGGATCGTATATGTGTATTGGTAAAGAGTCTTATACAAGGACGAAACGGCCATCCAGTTTTTCCAGGTTTTCAATGGTAGTCTATCTTAGATCGACTCATGAATTCAACCTTCTTTTTAGTTTATTTGAAATGATAGCAGGATTTGTGTTAGGGAAAATATTTTCATTTAAATTAATAATAGCTATTTTAGATGGAAGTTAATAATGTCACACATTGTTAAACGGATTCAAGTTTTTAAAAAAAAATATTTTGTTACCAACAGTTTAATAGGGAGTTATTTACAATGAATATAATGAATAAAATTTATCACGAAGTCAGGAGCTTATACCAGTGAAGACAAAATGAAATTTTATGAATCATAGACACTACACATATACACTGATCTTACAATTTCCAATGGTAGACAATATTTACTTGTATTTCAGACATATACACCTCTAGTGTCACATCAAAATACAAATAATAAATTGAATTAAGTAAAATAAAAATTAATTATATAAACTATACAACTTCAATTTAATAAATAAGAAATAATTACCGATATAAACTAAAGTATTAGCTGTAAATGTATTAAACAGATATGATATACCAAGTATAGTTCGGTTCATGAACATCATAAAAATACTGAAAATTAGTATTTTTAAAAGGAATTTGACAGACTGACATTTAACTTTATGAAATTGTTTATAATTATCATTCGTATCAGATATATTCTGAGAGATTGAATGACTTGATTTTGATATTGGTCTATGTATGATTCGAGCCATTAAAAGTGTGAAAATAAGTGCGATGATTGCAGAAACTATATCAGTTACACCACTGAAAATAATAGTAATACATTTGAATGAAAATATACTTGTTAAACAATTAAGTATAATTAAGTAGTATGATACAAAATAATGGGATTATGATTTACTAAAATAATTAAGAAAATTCATATAACTATATTGTATGCTCTGTAATAAGTTGAATTGCATTTTCACATTGATATTTAGTAAAGTATTTTTGTAATGAATTTATTTCACCTGATAAATTAACTTTTATATGATTTGACAATGAAATAGAACACTGTACTGATTGAGTAATTGTTGAAAACTGAAATGAATATTTTAACAACTATCCTGTAATCATTAGTCACTATAATGTTATCCATCTACTTAACTTCCTAGTGTATTCAATGGTATTATGAGTAAAATACATATTATGCAGAGACATTAGTTAAGGTTCCATGTTCTAGAAACAATGAAGAAGTTCAAACCATGTAGTATGGGATGATAATAAATATATATGTGTACATTGTTGAGCTATCATTGCATACAGAACCTCATAAGCTTAGGAACACTTGCTTAATCCACGCACAATGAGCAGAACAAACTGGATGGATTGTTTATATTATACACATAATGTAAGTCACTTCAGAGTAAAGAAGTGGCTTATATTAAGTTATGAAACGTCAAAAATATAATTATCAGAATGAGTTTTGTGGAGATCTTAGTAAATTTCACAGGTTGAAATCATGAGTCAGTTGAAGCTAGACCACCATTGAAAACCTGGAAGCACTGGACGGCCGTTTCGTTCTAGTATGAGACTCCTCAGCAGTGCGCATCCACATTGGTGTTCGATGGCGCAACTTCGTGGACTGGTTGAAGTTAGACATTAACACCGTTGGATGACGGCTCAGTGGTCTAATGGTTAAGTGCTCACGCGCGAAGCCAGTAGGTCCTGGGTTCGAATCCCGCAGGGGGCGGGTTCGTGGATGCGCACTGCTGAGGAGTCCCATACTAGGACGAAACGGCCGTCCAGTGCTTCCAGGTTTTCAATGGTGGTCTAGCTTCAACTGACTCATGATTTCAACCTGTGAAAAATATAATTGTCCCTACTCATAGGCATATAAAAAGAATACATATTTCTTATTAACTTTCTACCCAATACTCAATTTATGTGAGACTATCAAGTCCAACCTTGGATGGATTGTGTTTTGACTATCCTAAATTTAAATGCCTAAAAATCTGTGGCTCATAACACATCTCATCAATGGTTAATAGAGATAGTTATAAATCGCACGTTGAAAACAGTGAATCAATTTGAGTTTTTTTTTTTTAAATTCACAATTTGATTGCATATAATAACTTACGGTGGTTTCTCGATTATAAAAACAGTATTACTATACATGTTTTGCATCATCAGCAAGTTTTTCATAATAAAACATATGATATGTTTATTTCTACAAGCACATTTTGCATACTGTCGAATGTATTAGTAATGAACAACCATAGAACCTCTGCATCTAAGCTCTCTGCTAATAAAACGATATACAGACATCCTGAAGAGTTTTGTCTAATCCTATAAGAATCATCCAAATCTACAACCAATCATATGGACAATCATCTTATATTTACGGAGTATTAAAATAAAATTAACAGCATATTGTGGTGTATGCTACTGATGTCAATAGATATAAGTAGTATGTATCATCAATCAAAAGTGAAATGCCTGGAGGCGGAAGGTTAAGAAAATCAAAGAAATGAGAACGAGAACAAAGAATGATTGGTATTGGAAACAAAAGAACAATGAAGTTCGATACGATTGATTCACATTTGCAGAAGGAACAGTCAAGTTTGAGATAAATGACTAATATTTTGCAAATGAAGAATTTACTGTATGGTTCTCAGATTTTACTAAGACGCTCTATAATTTTGCATTCATAAACTTTCGATTTTCACCACTTGTGTTCTCGTTCACCACAGTGTAATTATAATCAAAAGTATTATCTTCGGGCATATACTATCAATTGATTCTTATCTATAAATAACAAAATCTTTCAGAAGTATATTTCTTGGAATTTGAATACATAGTAATTTCTTTCTTGGACAGTAATAATGAGGTACAAACTATTGAAAATGGACTACCTTTACGTACAAATGTATACAGTGAACAGAATTTTGTAACAAAATAAAATCTCAAACTTAGGTTAATTTACTTTATAATTTAAGTGATAAGATAACTTTTATGTTAAATTTATTTATGGTAATTTATGCATATAATCATCAAGTATTCTTTGGATATCAGTCAATTAATGCTATGGTTGAAGCGATTACGAGTTCACCTAGTCTGAAAACGGAACAAAGATTTTGTGATCAAAGACCAATAAACTAATCTCGGCCCCGCTGACTAAAGGAGAAGTTCAAGTTCAAAATGTGGAAATATATTCCGCAAGCCGCCAGAAACATGAACAATCACAACAGGCACAAATCAAACGTTTATATACAGCATAAAATTGTCCTTAGGATGCGTTACAAAATAGCATACTAAAAGATACAACGAACCAATAGCATTGAAGATCCTTCTAAGTGGGAAATACGACATGAAAGTGAAGATGAGTGCTTTTGGCGCGAAAACAAAAAACTCAATTTATAAAAAATCAAATTACAAAAATAAGGTATTTACCAAGTGATTTCTGGGGATCTAACATCCTCAAAAATTAATATAAAAAATATAATACAAATTTCATGATCAAATGTTTATATGTTATAAACCATTGAAGTGTTATTCTGATTAAAGTTTTGTAGTACTAACTATTTAGACATAATGAAAACCCTTCTACTTAAAACGTAACCTCAAATTTTTTGTCATAAAATTTTCATGATACTGTATCTAATTATTCGTTCATTTCACTAAAAAAACAACAACTTCAAACGTAAACTTACGAATAAATTCCAACATCCTGTGAATTCCATAAAAATGGATATCCCATTAGATATATGTATATAATATACAAATCCGTTGATGTAACAGTAGATAACAAAAATACAATAAATCCAGTTAGCATGTGTTGTTTATATTTTCCACTTAGGATCTAAAGTGTTTATTATTGGATATGAAATAACAAATAGAAAATAAAAAACCTTTTTACTGTATATGATATGTCATGATACAATATTCTAATGAAGTTTGTCATAAACAATTATTATATGGAATCTTGAATTCTTCTAACAGACTTTATCCTAATAAAATCTAAACTGTTTTCAGATTATCATTTTTATAGACAAAACACTATGGATTAAGTTAGCTTGACTAATCACAATCTAAAATAAATTAGGGCTTATCATAAATAGTTTTATTTAGTTAAAAACAAAACGATAGAAAACATAAAAGAGTATCATCAGGCAAGTGCACCTGTTGGATCCCGTATTGAATCAATTATTTATCCACGCTGATCATTTCTTTATTCTGAGGAGTTGAGAAGAAAAACGGTGAAACTATAATTTATGAACGACCTTTCAGCGACTCTAGATTGACCTTGAGAGCATCCACCAAATAACTAAGACCAAATGAGGGTTATACACCTGTGTGGGGAATTAGAATTATGATTTACGGTTGATGATTAAGGTTAGAAATTAGATTTAGGGTTTTCATCACAAATTGACATCAGCTATAATGCCAAAACTCCCTTTAACCAAATGGATGAATGAATTTCACGCCAAAATTCGAGACCTGTTATCTTATACGTGATTGGTTCGTCTACCAATTACAGTTTCGCTAATAAAGCATATTGATTGACGGTCATCCTTCTGCACTGAGAATAGATTAAGCATGACAAAATAGTATGTTCAAGAGTTAAAAGTTATTTTATTTCCATGACAATATAGTTGTAAATATTAGAGTGTGTTATATATTTGTGCTTTTATAAGTTCTCTGTAATTACATAAAAAAATGATAATGTTATGTATTTAGCAATCAATAAATGCAAATAAGCCTAGGCTTGTAATGTACAAAAATATTTCATTTATGTCAAATTCGATCAAAAATTTGTCGTAATTTATCTTCGTTAAGATAAATAATTTAAGTATACATTGATAGATAGAGAGGTTAAATAGTTTTCGTATCCGGATTTCGAAGATAGTGTAATGTAATTATTCTTCTAAGTATTAAATATTTCAAGTTGTATAATGACTTAATGAAAACTGTATTTTAAAAAATAAGCAAGTATGGATAGTGAATAGCAGTGGAATAGAGGATGCGCATTTCTTCCTATGTGAGACTCGTCAGCTGGATGTACCTGCGTTTCAGAATTGGTGCTCACTCCGCGATTACAACCCAGTACCTTTCACTTGAAACGCCCTCACGTTATCCACTTAGCTAATGAGTCTTGATAGCTACTTCCTTGTGCAATGGGGTGAAGTTTAAATTCACTTGGTGTTGTTTGCTTGGATATAAGTGGATAACACAGTGGCGTTTGAAGCAAACAGTACTGGGTTCGAGTCCCAGAGTGAGCATGAATTCTATGATGCAGGTAAATCCAGCTGAAGAGTCTTGATTAGAATAAAATGCGCATCCTAGGTTCCACTGCTAGCTACTATCCATCTTTCTTTAGAATGCTTGTGAGTTAAGGCAATATCGAGGTAATACACACAGTATGCACATATACCAATAAGAGATTGATCAACTGTAGTTCTAAACATCAATGGGGAGGTTCAAGTAAACAATACCAAGTGTATTTTCAAAATATTATAGATATAAACTAGATGGTATATTATTGACCATTTTCTGATAAATAGGAATGTTTTTCACAGTTAGCCAAATTTACCTTTATATTTATAAGATCTTAATGTAATACTATTAAGAAATGATAAATAGACAAGTTCAAAAGAATTTTGTCAGGTAATCAGTTTATTAACATCAACTCTAACAGAAGTTTATACAGCCGGTTAAAAGCACATTAACAAGAATTGTCCGACTGTCTTTTATTTGCGATAGTTTATAACTCAAGTAGTGGATTTATCGTCGAAATTAATATATATATATATATATATATATTAAAGAACTAGTTCCGTGAGGAAATGGTAACACGAATAACCAAGATGACGCAATAGCAAGATTATACTACTAGATTACGCAAAACAAATAATAACAATAGACGTAATAAGTTAGTAACGAATTATAACGTGAATGTATTAAGATAATTAAAATGTTATAATTCGATACTAAGTTATGAGGTCTATTGTTGTTATTCGTATTAAGTAAGCTAGTCTTATAATCTTCTTATTACGTCATCCTGGCTATTCGTGTCCACATTTCCTCACGGAACTAGTACTTTGACAAAATAATTTCATATTTATACAATTGTACGAATTTATTAAAATTCGTTGAAAAGAGATCCCTTCTCTGAACTTTATGTTCTTAATGTTTAAGTGGGAATTATATTTCAGTAATAGTAATTGTTTGAAATTCTCTTATATACCATTACGGACCATAGATTGACATAGTCTGGAAAAATAATAAACATCATAGAGCACTAAAGAGCTTTTATAGTCTTCATCAGGACTGCTAAGTGATTCCCGTTTACAATGATAAAATTAAGGCCTCAGAATTTCAGAGTGAGCGCGGTAGTTGTAGGCTTACGAGTTAGGATCTAGTGATTTTTCTATTTACATCAGTCAACCATGGATATTATACAATCAACCTACAGATCGTATGTTAGATGTAATGGCGGAAAACTATGCCACATCCTTTGTTGACACACATGGTCAATCTTCCTAACAGGAGCTGTTTGGAACAAATACGAATAGATCATTCGGAAAGTGATGCATACAAAGTGTAATATATAAGAAATAGATGCAAATTTCAATAACCATAATAGTATTTTATGTGGTGACAGTAGTCTGTTTACGTGAGCAACAAATCACCAAAAATATTACTTACTTACTTACGCCTGTTACTCCCAATGGAGCATAGGCCGCTGGCCAGCATTCTCCAACCCACTCTGTCCTGGGCCTTCTTTTCTAGCTCCATCCAATTCTTGTTCATTTTTCTCATGTCTATTTACATTTCTCGGCGTAATGTGTTCTTTGGCCTTCCTCTTTTCCTTTGGCCTTGAGGATTCCATGTGAGGGCTTGTCCTGTGACAAAGTCAGGGGCTTTCCTCAATGTGTGTCCTATCCACTTCCAGCGCTTCTTCCTAATTTCTTCCTCCACTGGGATCTGGTTTGTTCTCTCCCACAGTACGTTGTTGCTAATAGTGTCCGGCCAATGGATCCGAAGTATTTTGCGTAGACAACTGTTAATAAACACCTGTATCTTCTGGATGATGGCTTTCGTAGTTCTCCAGGTTTCTGCCCCATACAGTAGAACTGTCTTGACATTTGTATTGAAAATCCTGACCTTGGTGTTGGTTGACAGTTGCTTTGAGTTCCAGATGTTCCTCAGTTGTAAATATGCTGCTCTTGCTTTGCCGATCCGCGCTTCCACATCTGCATCAGATCCACCCTGTTCGTCTATGATGCTGCCCAAATACGTAAAGGTTTTTACATCTTCCAAATCTTCTCCGTCAATTGTGATTGGATTGGTGCATTCTGTGTTGTATCGGAGAATCCTGCTTTTCCCTTTGTGTATATTGAGACCTACTGCTGCTGAGGCTGCTGCCACACTGTTCGTCTTCTCCTGCATCTGTTGTTGCGTTTGGGATAGAAGGGCCAGATCGTCTGCGAAGTCTAGATCATCCAACTGCATCTTAGATGTCCATTGTATCCCGCGCTTCCCTTCAGATGTTGACGTCTTCATGATCCAGTCGATCACCAGGAGAAAGAGAAAGGGTGAGAGTAAGCAACCTTGCCTAACACCGGTCTTCACTTCGAACGACTTTGTCAACTGTCCTCCATGCACAATTTTGCAGTGTAATCCATCATATGAGTTCTGTATGATATTGACTATCTTCTGAGGCACGCCGTAGTGTCGAAGAAGTTTCCATAGTGTTGTTCTGTCCACGCTATCAAATGCCTTTTCGTAGTCAATGAAGTTGATGTAGAGTGATGAATTCCATTCAATTGATTGTTCCACAATGATCCGTAGAGTTGCGATTTGGTCTGTACACGATCTATCCTTACGGAATCCTGCCTGTTGGTCACGAAGTTGGGCTACGCAGTCCTTCATCCTGTTTAACAATACCCTGTTGAAGACTTTTCCCGGTATTGAGAGAAGTGATGCCCCTGTAGTTATCACACTTGCTGAGATCGCCTTTCTTCGGTATTTTGATCAGAGTCCTTCTTTCCAGTCTGTTGGTACTTGTTCCTCATCCCAAATCTTATTGAAGAGAATGTGGAGTATCCTTGCAGTTGCCGCTACGTCTGCTTTTAGTGCCTCTGCTGGGATGTTGTCCGGTCCTGCTGCTTTGCCACTCTTGATTTGTCTGATGGCCATGCTGATTTCTTCAATTGTTGGTGGGCCAACATTGATTGGGAGGTCCGTGGGTGCTGCTTCGATGTTGGGTGGGTTCAGTGGAGCTGGTCGATTCAAGAGTTCTTTGAAGTGTTCTACCCACCTGTTTTGTTGCTCTTCAATGTTGGTGATTACCTCGCCTTCCTTGCTTTTCACTGGTCGTTCTGGTTTGCGGCGATTTCCAGAGAGTTTCTTTGTCGTGTCATACAATTGTCTCATGTTTCCTTCTCTTGCAGCCTTTTCCGCCGTCGTTGCTAAATCTTCCACATATTTACGTTTGTCGGTTCTGATGCTCCTCTTCACTTGTTTGTTTACTTCTGTGTATTCAGCTTGTGCCTTGGCTTTTTCTGCTCTTGTTCGACTGGTATTGATTGCTGCTTTCTTGTTCCTCCTTTCTTGAATCTTATCCAGTGTATCAACAGTGATCCATTCCTTGTGATGGTGCTTCTTGTGACCCAGGACCTCATGACATGTTGAAGTGATTGCCTCTTTGATCCCCTTCCAGTTGCTCTCCACAGTAGTTCCTTCTCCATTGAGTAGATCATGAAAGGCCTGGAACTTGTTGCTGAGGACTATCTTGAATTTGTTGAGTTTGTTAGTATCCTGAAGAAAGGCCGTATTGAACTTTTGTGATATTGTCCGCCCAATTGTCCAGTGTTTCTTGAGTTTTAACTTCATCTTGGCGACCAGCAAGTGATGATCTGATGCTATATCAGCTCCTCTCTTGGTTCTCACGTCCTCTATGGTCCTCCTGAACGTTTTGTTGGTGCAAATATGGTCGATTTGGTTTTGTGTAGAGTGATCCGGTGAAGTCCATGTGGTTTTGTGTATACGTTTATGTGGGAATATGGTGCCGCCTATGACCAGCTTATTGAAGGCACATAGATTTGCAAATCTTTCACCATTTTCGTTTCTTTCTCCCAGTCCGTGTCGTCCCATGATGTCTTCATATCCAGTGTTGTCCGTTCCAACCTTGGCGTTGAAATCTCCCATCAGAATGGTCAGGTCCTTTGTTGGGCACTTCTCGACGATAGACTGCAGCCTATTGTAGAATTGATCTTTAGCGTCTTCATTGTAGTCGTTGGTAGGCGCATAGCATTGGATGATGTTCATTGAAATACCCTCTTTCTTTGTTTTGAACGAGGCTTTGATGATCCTTGGTCCATGAGATTCTCATCCTGTAAGCGCATTTTGCGCTTGTTTGGACAGCATCAATGCAACTCCTTGTGTATGTGGTGCATTTTCTTCTTCATGGTCGGAGTATAACAGGAGCTCTCCTGTAGTTAGTCGTTGTTGTCCAACTTGTGTCCAATGTGTTTCACTGATCCCAAGTACCTCTAGGTTGTGTCTTCTCATTTCTGCAGCAATTTGGAAGGCTCTCCCGGTGTCCCACATTGTACGAACATTCCATGTACCTAAATAAATGGTCGCTCTGGTTGTCAGAAGGGGCATCGGCCTCGTAACTTCCGAAGGAATTCGGCTTTCATCATGAGGTGTCATAATTCTTCTAAATGAAGACCTTCTGACTCCCAGGGCAGAGTTTAAAAGGTTTGAATAATTTTTTCTGGTTAGCGTTTTTTTAGCGAGTTAGTTTTCTACGGGATGGGGACGCTAACCCCATGCCCAACCCTCCTCCTTTATCCGGGCTTGAGACCGGCAGTAGCTCCCAGAGGGACTCCAGGCGGAGTTATCAAAAATATAACGAGATCAAAAAAATCCGTAAAGCTTCAAATATATATTTGTACAATGTAACCATTGTATTCCGGCTAGCGTTTCTCAACAAAGTTGTTTTCTACAGAATGGAGTTGCTGACTCCGTGCTCAAACCTCCACTTCAACCCGATCTTGGGACCGGCAGTAACTCTAGAAGACCTACAGACACGTACAGGCAAGGACTGACAAAGCCAGGACCGCGTTCCCACAGCCGAAGAGCATATGGAACCCAAAACAATTGTATGTCAACCAGTATCAAAGTTCGGATCTTCAATAAGAACCCCGAGAATTATCACAACCATCATCAAAAAGGTACAAGTATTTATAAACAGTTGTCTACTCAATATACTTAATGTCCGTTGGCCAGATACCATTAGCAACAGCCTGCTGTGCGAGAGAACAAACCAGATTCCAGGAAAAGTCGATGAAAGTGGATATGACACGTATTGAGGAAATCATCAAACTGCATAACGAAGCGAGCTCTGATTTGTAATCGTGAAGAGAAACGAAAAAGTGGAAGATCAAAGAACACATTGAGCTGAGAATTGGAATCAGATAAGAAAATGATGAAATAGCAACTGAAGAAACTGGAAAGGATTGCTTGGGACAGAGCTGAATGGAGAATGCTGGTGAATTGCCTATGTTCCTGCACGAGGTGTAACAGCCGTAAGTAAGTAATTAGGTTAGTAATCAATCTATCATTCCATTTTTCACAAACGCTATAATTCTAATATTGTTCTGATTTCCTTAAACACAATAACTCACTAATTAATCAAGTAATATATCATCTTCTAAATTGCAAAAGTTTAAAACGAGTAAAATAAATGATCATTAAGTTATTTATGACAATATTTATTTACCTACCTTGAAACTGTTTTGAATATTTTGACAATTCACTTCCCAAAATGATAAATTTCTGCTACGTACAAAAACAATCTCTATATTACTACTCTCGTTTTTACAATCTTGATCATTATTTAAAGTGTCTATATTTAAACATTTCGGACGAAATACTATGTTCGATTCAGGCAGAAAAAATATTATCAATAAACTAATCCCAACCAAAATGTTACAGATGATAACTGGTAGTTGAAAACCGCCTCGATAAAGAAGGGTACCTAAAAGAATTAAATATTGTATTGTTGATTCGATTTGAAATGTTTTATTTTTTTAAGATGTTTGGGAAAAAAATACTGGATCAGTAACAATATACTGTTAATTTTGTTTACATTTTTTTCAAATCCACACTTACGTTTGAAGAATAACTAAGTCTTTATATATTCAAATAACTGAGCAATGTATAATTAATAAGCTGAGTATCAAGACGAAAACTATAGTTGAGTTCAGTCTTAAGCATACTTTGGTATTTGTTTCACCCTAATATATACTTTTAGTCAAAGTATATTATATTCAAGCTGATCAAACAAACAAAAAGATCTCAAGATATTGTTCTTGGAGAGATACAATATTTCATTTCCATTTGGAGCAGATTAAAATAGAATACATCTACAGTGAGTGATATATCACTACACTCGTGATCAGAGTATGTATTTTACCGTCCACATTAACTCATTAATGATGATTTTACTAACCGTCTTAAAAATACATAGATAAATCAAACAAATTAATTATTGGATATCGTCATACTACTGTGGTGTGTGCTGTTGATGTCGATAGATATAATTAATATGTATTATCAATCAAAAGTGAAATATCTCGAGGCAGAAGCTTAAGAAGATCGGAGAAAAGGGAACGAGAACAGAAAGTGATTGATGTGGAACAGAAGAATCAGTCAAGTCTGAGACGATTGATTGACATTTCGCAAATAAAGTATTTACTATATCGTTCTCAGATTTTAATAAAAGATTCTGTAATTTTGTGTTCGAATACATTGATTGTCCCTACTTGTTCTCTCGTTCATTACACTATCATCATATTATCTTAAAATGTATTTGAAATTACAAAGAATATCAAAAAGACATTTTCAGTTCATGTGAATATGATTTTGTATAACACTCGTAAAAAAAATTGTATAACCAAATAGTTTCTAAAATTTTATTATTATTATATTTCCTATACCAAATTTGTGAATACAACTGATTTGCTCACCTCCTATAGGATTTGAAAGTGATAAACTTATTAAAGCAAGTCCATCGAACCAAGTGAATAAAGTCCATAAATTATTTTGATTAGTTAATTGACTATTTGTTACATCATTATTATCTATTGATTCTTTACACACTAAATCCGTTAATGATGCTGAAACTTGTGCTTGAATCGATAACAAACCACCTCCTATAAATCCATCGAATAAACCAGGGATAACTGTTAACCATGGATTAGCTTGGAGTAGAACAACCACACCTATTAATCGATAATATGTATATAAATTAATAAAATGATAAAATACACTTTTACTCAACCAAGTCTATGTAAAATCATTTCTTTGTAGACAAGTAGTATATATAGATATGTACTAGAAGTTTAGTGATACTCGGGTATGTCTATGAATTTTGTGTGACACCACTTAACGTTATTAAATATGTGATATTTCTTTATCAGGAATGATATTGTAGTAAGCTATTAAATAAAAACCAAATAGCTAATAATACAGTTTATCTTTCAGAAATGTTAGTAATCTATGGTAAAGTCAATATTATTTCATAATTTACATCAAGCATAGATTTGTGTTCGACAGACAATAGTAACTGTGAGACAGCAAACATCTGATTTATTTTAGTATGAGACTCTTAAACAGTATGACGCAACCACATAGAAACAGATCCAAGACCTTTGGTTTTACACGCAAACGCTTAGCACTTAGACCAGCAAGGTGCGAGCCGATGAGTTGTATACTTAACTTTAATCAACTTTCAATATCCCATAACCATCTTCCATTATACTTTATGATTGACTGAATCACACTTGACATAACTAAACTCCACTAGTCATTACGTTTCACTAAAACTCAGTTTTATTTGTTTGAATGAACGCTTTAGAACGGACTTGTCGAATAAAAAATATTTCATTTTGTCAATAGAAAGCGTAAAGTGACTAGTGAGGAAGCATTCAGGTGACGATTTCTTTCTGGAATTCAATTTTAGAAGTTCATACATTCAAAGCATCAAAATGATGTTACGTAATATTTTGACAGACAAATACCAAAGTCAGTGAGCTTATGTTCATTTTTCTCAATGGACAGTTTATTGTTTAGTCAAGCCGTTTGGTTACATCTTACACAAGGCTATGGAATGCTTTGATAAAAACACCTACTCAGTGTGATTATTTGTAATGCTTCTCCGATGATCATGATACCTAATGACAAACGACGGCCAAAATGGTCAGATATGTAACCAATTATCATTGTTGTCAATAAACCAAATAATAATCTCACTGAATGATTGCATGCACCAATCCAAGCAGCTCTACGTTGCCCTTCCTTAAGTAAAAGTTTATCTGATTCATTGCTGAAAGAGAAAAACAGTGAGGAAATCGAAGTTTATTGCTATATTCACCACCACTCCAATATTTACTGAAATAATAGCAAAAACGTTTCAACCACAAAGAAAGGCATGGGTATACTAATTAGTAATATAAATAAAAGATACAAATCATTACCGTGAATATTTATATTTTCAGTTAGATATTCTAATCAGTTTGCCGTGTGTATCAAAATAACATGTCTAAAAAAGACTAATAAATCAGACATTTTGCGTAGATATACAATATATGTCATCAATGTGATCCCGTAAATCATTGGGCTGAAATCGTATAAATAAATTATTTCTAGTTGAAAGTTATTGTGTTTTTTCTATCATTATCTAAACGAAGATATTTACAACATGCAGACTCAAGTCTAGTCTTATTTGTTAAAAACGTCGGTAAACTTTGATTTTTTCAAAGAACTCAAATAATGCAGCTCACCTTGCGATCAATTCAAATTTCCCATCCTTTACGTCATATGATAAACCTTCGTCTATCGCGCATCTAAATATTAATAGAAATAAATGCTTTATCTTTATATTTAGAACAAATTTTAATTGTGTTTCTAATTGAAAATTTTATAATATGGAATATATTTTAGTGAGGTATATGCCGATAAATCTAGTTTGTATATCAGCATGTCTGTAGAAATGTTTTGACGGTACTGTCATTTACATATTCAAGGAGAATCCAATTATTCCATTCATTTTTAAAGCTCTAAATTTATAGACACGTTAAGAAAATAGGACTTACAAAACAAAATGGACTAACATAAGGCTTCAAGCCTTTTGCTCTTTTAAATTGAAACTGATATTATACATCGAGACTTTCCGTCGAAAAATTATTTTAAATAAATGATTTGTTTAGTAGGTTAAACGAAGTTTAGGACATCAGAAATTAACGGATTATCAAACGAACTTCTGTAGGTTAAGTTCGACATCTATTAGACATCATTGTGAATTTAATGGATCGTCAGAAGCGACAATTAACAAAATGAGTAGAACAAGAGCGATAATAAGACTACGAAAATTCAAACATGAGAGAAACAGAACTAAATTATCGTTTAAAATTGGAGAATAAAAGTTAAGAGTGACGTTTGTCACAGTATTCAGAGTATATTATAGTCAAATTGTTTATTCTGCTAGCCAAAATATAAAACTTAATAAGTACCATATAATTTGTTTAATACATAAGTATTCCATAAATTTGCAATATCTGACAGTGTAGGGTTGGTCGGAAATATAAATATATCTATACAATAAATCAAAGATATGAAACATTGAGGTAATGAGAAATTGATTATTAATAATAATTGATAGTAGTTAAAAATTAAATCCAGTAGATCGTTTCTGTCATCTCTTAAACAAACTAAGAACATAATCGCTTTTTCAACATCTTGTTAAACTGGAATTATGGTTCATTTTATTCATTATATGTTGGAGTAACTGATGTATTTTGGCTATGCAACACTTCTGTGCGATGAAAATTACACCAGTAGGTAGACGGACGAAGGAAGTATATACTTTTTAATAAGTTACCACCAGGTTCTGTTATTCTAAATCCAAACTAATGCTCCAGAACAAAGATAGCCAGACATAAGGAAAACACGTAATTTAGACAATCATATACGTATTTGTGTTTTCGGTATAAGATTATTGAAATGAATGGTTTGAATATGATGAATACAATTTAGAAAACTAAATAATATTGTAAGATTACATCCAATTAATCTCTAGACGATGTTCTAAAATGGCACATGCGCCTTAATAAATAAATTATGTATCTGACTTAAAATTGTTTTCCAGTCAGTTAGTCACTCAGTAAGCTACAACGTAGGACCAGGAACATATGTGCATTGGTCCAAGTTGCCAGTGTAGAAATTAAGAAAAAAACAAGGATTAACAAAATAATCGTTACTTCAAATGTTTCGTCTATTATTTAATTTGATATGGAAGCGCATTTATCAAATACTATCTTCAATGCAAACGATATGTTTTATTCGTTAAATGAACTTCGAAAATACTAGTAAACAAATTAATCCCATTAGCTGAAATCATGAGTCAATTGGAGCTAGATCACCGTGGAAAACCTGGAATCACTGGACGACCGTTTCCTCATAGTATGGGACTCCTCAGCAGTGCGTATCCACGATCCCACCCCCCGCGAGATTCGAACCCAGGACCTGATGGTCTCGCGCGCGAGCGCTTAATCATTAGACCAGTGAGCCGTCATCCAACGATGTTAATGTTTAAATTCCACCAATCCAATCATTAAAAATAAATGACCTAATTGACTTACCTGTAAAATACATACTGATCAGAAATAAAAAAACATAATTCCAGTGATATATACAAAGGAATAAGTAACATGGCTAATAATATTAGAAATTTATTTCTTAAATTCCAAATACTATCACATTTCAGCATGTTGATAGAAAAAGAATTGGGAAATGTTGTACAATGGTGTTACTTTGCTTGTTTTTTTTCCTCGTACAAATAATATGTGAAGTAGTGACAATGTTTGAATGGAATAATAAAAGGTTTTCTCACTTTCTAGTTTGTTTGTTGTCTATTAAATATTGTATTTATGTAAACAACGTAATTTGAAGCCTGGATGTTCTTAATGATAAGTAACAATGCATAAATGTAGGTATATACATATATATTTCACAAACATGATAGTTCACGTGAGTTTATTCATAGGAATTCAATAATTCATGTTGTAAGATTCAATAAACCAGTATTTTTCGTCCGTTAGTAATACAATAAGTAAATGAGCGGTGAATCTTAATAGTTTTGTAAGTGTCTATATAATAAATGTGATTTTTATACTAGAATTATACGAATTTTCAGACTACGTTTATGGTAATAAACAAAAGCGCTAATCTTTCCGGGTTTTTTTTAAAACAAAAACAGATGCAATTGGATCATGTGAAGGTAAAATGTGAACTATAAGGAATCAAATGATTCATTTATTTCATGATAGATATCATAATGAACATATACCGAGCAAATTTAATGAAACTTATTGAATATAAATCACCTTGAAAGGTTGTAAAGTGTCAATCTGATGGGTTGTACCAAATAGGTGTCTTGAAACAGAGCCTAGTAAAGTTTTTATTCTATTTGAAATAAATCCTATATAGGCTGACTCAGGTCCTTCTTTCTATTCTCTCAAAATAACTTCTTTTACAGGTACATGTAAGCCTATATACAGTTGGAGATAACATGAACGGTAAATCTAATGATCATAATTTGCTTCGACAAACATATTTTGTACTCGACGATTAGTTTGGATCTAGAACATATCTTGATTAATGTAGTTTTTAGTCTTCAGCTGATTTATGATTCAACACTATTGACTTCAAATTATAGTACGGTAGTTTCTTTAGGCTCTTTTCTTCAGTTCTCTTGTATTTAGCAGGAAATTTTTGTGGTTACATGTTGTTCTGTAGACACTTTTTAGATTTTCATCTCTTACTTTCATAGTTTATTGACGTCACAGATTCTTTCTGTTTTATAGAATGATATTTTAATTAGTAACTTATCTTAATGTACAAAAGCTGGTAAGATTTAGATAAGTTATTTAATCCTCCATATTTCGCACCAGGATTTCAAAAAAGCAGGATTTATCACTATTTTTTATGGTAAACTGTATATGAGCCATATTGAAAATCTTTAGCATGTGTTTTGAATATTTCTGAATATTAGATATGATAATTACGTCGCCAAGATACCTCAAATAATATGCCGTTTCATCTGTTGCTCCTTTGAACTTGGTCTTCAAAAGATTAGCTATGAAAAAAATACTTACTAGAACAAGATCTAAAGGACTTATCGTTGCTGCACCATCAGTTTGACGATTTTTGATAACTGTCAAACTGATACTGAACATCATTCATGTACATAATTGACAGTTGTTTGAAATATAATATTGGTAGACATGAGATTTCGGAATACAGAAAGATCTTGATTATGGATTAAATATATAATACTTTATAAAACAAGAGTTTTACGTCAAAAGAAATCATGAAATTATCATAGATGTTGATATGATTTGGTCAGTCTGAAACTGGGATAAATCTTTTGATTTATGTGCAGCTAATCACTGACGAACTGGTTATAGCTTTCCCGTTAGTTAGCATGCAACGTAGTGAAAAGTCGAACTGATTATTGACAAAATAAATCAAATTGTAACAATTTGCTTATGCATCTGCTATAGATCAAACAGGTAACCTGAACGAGACCTTTAAAGTGTTAGTTCATCATAAGTAGTGTTAGTTATGTTCATAACTAACCAATCAGATCGTTACTTAAGCTCCCAACATGTTGATCTGGTCTGATGTGTCTGTAAACTATCCCTATTGCATGTGACCTACCAATTGAAAGACATCATTATCCTATTATATTAGTGTGACTCATTTCGTTAAGACACGTAATGTTGGTCGGCATGTTTATTCGTTTCGCCTAATGACTGTAATTCCTCTAATTACTGTACTGACCTAATCGTTTTTACGTTTAGAAACAGATAATATTTAAAGTCAAGTTGTCCTTGCTCTGACCATAGTTTTCACATAGACTCTGTAATCGCCAAGATGGCGTTTACAGTTCTAGTAGTATATTTGTAGGACAAATTAAATCCTACAAAGTTTCAACCAGTAAATTCGATATAGCTACTGAAATGGCTGCCAATAAGTACTATGATTCCGATGAGATTCCAGAATTATCACCCCACCATCTGGGAGTTCATGATGAAGGTCAACTTGAAAAAGACGAACCCAAAAGCAATAGCATGATAGAACTAGAGTTAGCTAGGTTACGTGTAACTCAGAAGAAGAAATTGAACTAGGAAAGTTACGCCACCAGAGAAGTGAAGGTTTCAAGATTTGAATCAGTGAAACCTCTGTAACATTTGTCAATCTTATATCTTAATTGGTAGTTTAAGATTTTTTTACATAGGTTCGAAGATTTGTCAAATTACCAAGGAGAACAGTATAACTTAAGATTTTAATCATAAAATTTATATTTAGTCGTTTTTAGAATTTTCTTCTGTGTACTACCACCAAGTAAGCGAAATAAATAACTTCAAGTAGGGAGAGGTAGTGTAAAATAGAAATATGTTACTTAACGGAAAAAAAATTGGTTAACTGAATGATGAAACTTGGTATTACTGAACGAAAATAACTAGCGATGTTTAAATTACTAGTCATGACTGTAGGTAGAACTTTCCTGTTAATTTTATTATTAGAATAAGAAGTAAATATTTTCATAAACTTAGATTGTTGAACAGAAGCAACATATTGTAACCGCCTTGAAATAACAATCGACATGTATTTTATGTTATTATATGAATGTATTAAAAAAGATTCTCTATTTTTATTTATTTTTAATTGATGTGTTGTATTAATTAACTATAATTATAACTCAATCAATTTGTGCAATTTGAGAAAAAAACAATTGAACTCACACTTACTAAGTTATCCTTTACAAGTCATTCTAACATGAATTATTATTGAAGTATAGTATATGTAAAGTTGTTTTTGACTCATTCAAATAGCATTTTATATGACACTTTCCTTTGTCTTATGTAGACACTGTTAATTACTACTTTTGTGAATGAATTTATTATCAGAATGGAGGTTTGTGGAGATTGTAGTAAATTTACTAGTTGAATTCTATATTTTCAATGTTGGTCTAGCTTAGATCAACTCGTGAATTCAAATATTAAAATAAATTTATTGTTGAAGACACAAATATGTCAGAAGGGGTTTTGTGGATATTATAGTAATTTCAATGGTTGAGATCATGAATCAGTTGAAGCTGGACCACCACGGAAAACCTGGAAGCACTGAACAGCCGTTTCGTCCTATTGTGGGATCGAGGATGCGCACTGCTGAGGAGTCCCACAATAGGACGAAACGGCTGTTCAGTGCTTCCAGGTTTTCCATGGTGGTCTAGCTTCGACTGACTCATGATCTCAACACAAATATATTTTTAGTCTAAAATATCAACTTGCCTCGCATAATTTAATGAGATAATTTTCGACATGATTATTGTTGTAATTTGAATAAGCTTTATTTTTATGGTATAAACATGAATCGTCTTGATGATTCAGACAAATAGTTATTTTCGTATATGGTGGACTTAGAAATTAGTGTTCATTTTAAATTTGATGTTGACTTGATGATAGTAGTATTGTGGTGTAAGCTACTTATGTTTGCAGATATAAGTAGTATGCAACAGCAGTCGAAAATGCAATGTATGGTGGCAGAAGGTTGTTAATATTGAAATGTAGAGAAAAGAGAACGAAACTAAAATCAATCAAGATAACAACAAGACTGGAGGAGCAATGAAGCTTGATTGATGTATTTGATGTACAATTTTCACACTTTACTAAACCACGGTGCGACTGAGGATTATCTCCCTCTGAGTGTTCGTTCACTATAGTATTAGCTGGTTATTCTTAATAAATAATTGATATTAAAAATAACCATACATAATGCAACTTTCATGGATTTCAAATGTAATTCGGGGTCTTTAACTTTGGTAATAATTCACTACAAATTCTCTTACTTGTAGGTCGGTGCTATTTATGTATCATCAAAAACTTGTTCACATTCAGCTATAGTAAAAAGTAGATGAGATTGATGTGATCACTACAAAAACCATCAAATAATAGATTAAAAACGGTTAGGTATAATTTTTTATTCAGCTACTCACTGTATATTTATCAGCGACTGATAACCAAGTGAAAACCTGTGCATTCAAAAGTCAGACTGTGATTATGGCGGTTAAAAAAACTTTTATGCTAGAAATGTGAATGTAGTTTACTTAGTTAATTTTATTTACCTAGTCATCGGTATATCAATACCATAAAGGCTTTCGTCAATAAACTCTATAAAGACGTTATTTATATACAATTGTTAATTTGTAAAAAGCGTCTTAGAAGTGTATACTGGAAAAACGAATATTTTAAATAACTGTTTCGTAATCTGCCAAAGAATGTAATTAAGTTACTGGGACTCAACTGAGATACCAAAACAAGTCGAGCTCAGTTATATCAAAACTGAAGCAGTTATCCATCAGTGGCAAAGAACAACCTTATGCTATATCACAAATTGATTGAAGTGAGAAATAAAAACTACTAGAATTCCAGTTATTCCTCTAAAGATAGTGTTCTAGCAATAGCCTTAATATAAATCTTGACAACACAGTGGATAAAGTTAAACCAAATGTACTATACTACTCAGTTTCTTACGAATGGTTCAAATAAAAATGATCGTTCAAGAAATTAACTGTAATCATATCTTATAGTTGAAGTTATGTCTGTTAAATTCATTTGATTGGTAAAGGTATGGTGTGTGCTACTGATGTCGATAGACATAAGTAGTATGTCTCATCGATCTGAAGTGAAATACCTGGAGACAGAAGGTTAAGAAAATTAGAGAGGAGAGAACGGGAACAGAGAATGATTGGTATGGGAATGAAGGAACAATGAAGTCTGAAACGATTCACTGGTATTTTGTATATGAAGTATTTACCATATCATTCTCAGATTTTATTAAGATTTTATGTAATTTTGTGCCCAAATCCATTCGATTGTCCTCACTTATGTTCTCGTTTACTACAAACGTAATATATTTACAAGACAAAACAATTACAGTTTATTCAAATGTCATTAAGTTTTCTTCCCTAAGCTATGATAATATTATCCAGGACGTTAATGAAAGTTTCTCACTTAAATCATCTCTTCTTAAAAACAAAAAAATTCAACAAAATCAAAATATATCCACTTGATATGCAAATCTCTATCATTACAAGCTATTCATTTCCATAAAATAAAATATCATTCTAAATAACCATTCTTTTATTTATAATATAAAAATCTAGATAAAAATCAATAAAATTGAATAAAACATCTATGAGGAATGCATTTCCTTTTAGAAAAGAAAGTACTTCTTGTTTACATTCTAGTACAGAAAAACAGCAACAACGAAAAAGAAAGAGAAAGCAGTATTGCAAAATTTTACAAATTATCTCGATATTGTTACAAAATCCAAATTATTAGTTTATTTCAATGGTTAAGATCATGAGTCAGTTGAAGCTAGACCACCATGGAAAACCTGGAAGCACCGGACAGTCGTTTCGTTCTATTATGCTTGCCGTTCAGTGCTTTCAGGTTTTCCGTGGTGGTCCAGCTTCAACTGACTCATGATCTTAACCATTGAACTTACTTTAATATCCACAAAACCCATCTGATATTAGTTTATTTATTAGAAAGATAAAGAGAAGAAATTTATTTCCCAAAATTTAAAATTACAATTCATTATTTGAATCCAAATGACTTTCTTCTTGTTAAAGGAAAAAATGCTTTAAATTGTTTAAATAAAAATTCAATTTAGTAAGATCATTTCTTTTTGTATTCTTGTTAAACGTATTGGTAACAACCTATCATAGAAGAAAGAAAAGAAAAAACGAATAAAAAGAAAAATATATATAATGCCATCTATTGATCAGTATCTTTTTTTTCTTTAGAAAGTGTGACTTTTTAAATTCACTTGGTATTGTTTGGCTTGTATCTTCGCACTGAGGTTTAAGACTGCAATTGATCAGTTTGTTATTGGCATATGTGCATATTGTGCGTATGCCTCGATATTGCCTTAATTCACAAGCTTTTTGTAGGCTATGAGTCCCAGATTGAACATCAACTCTGAGATGCAGGTATATCCAGCTGACAAGTCCCAAATAGGACAAAACGCGCGTCCTGGATTCCACTGCTAGCCACTATCCATCAGTGCTTACAAAAAGTGTAACTTTTTGTTGTTGTTAAAATTAATTTATTTATAAATTTAGATCAATTACCTTACTCATTTACTAGTATTACATATGTGATGTTATATTTAATATATATATAGATCATGATAAATATGAATCCAAAATGTTCAAATCATGTTATTTTGGTACTTAAGTTCTTATTTACAGTGTATTGTTATATTTGGATGAAGAATAATGAATGACAACTGTTAGGATCTATGTATGGACTGTTATTACATATATTGTTATGGTATAATTGTTAAGTAACTAGATTATATGTTTATTCATATTCCTTTTATTATAAGCTTCGGTTTGATTTATTGACTACTATTATACGTTTTACTATTATTATGATATTCCTAATTTATTAGTAATAGTCTATCGCAGTCACAGCTAGTACAGGTTTACGCGTCATTGATCTGGTCGTA